CCTTAAGGAAAAGGTCTTAAGGTGGGGGTACTTCCCGAAATCACCAGAAGGTGGCAGTGTTAACAATCAATGGAGTGGCTTTCTGGAAGGAAATACCAGAATAACTGGGAGCATGGCTGTAGTCCAGCGCCCGTGGAGCCTGACCCTGCAGACAGGTGGTGCGACAGCTCCCAGCTCGGTCAGAGCTCACCTGCGGGAGGTGTTCAGCTCTAAGGCTGGTGGATAGTGGAGACAGGTCTAGCTGGTGGTCAGGGCTCCAAGTATGGATATCTTTCTTTCATTTCCCCTCTCGGGGTTTTCTAGAATGTCAGGTTCCTGGAGCCCACCACGGCACGTTAAGCTGGGGACTGGAATCTCTACCTTAGGGTTTTTCTTACTGTGCTGCCAAACACAACGCAGAACAGACTCTTCATTGTGAGGACAGCTAATGGTGGGAGGGGGAGGGGGAGAGCACTGGGCTCGGTGCTGGATGGGCAGGGCACTGAAGGGAGTCTGCAGTTGCCAGCACCTCTTGCCACGTTTACAGGAATGAACCAGGAAAGGCGAAACACCCTCCCGACCACGAGAGGAAACAGAGTGACCCAAAGGTGTGAGCCTGGTGCTGTTTGTGGCCCCAAGGTTCATTCCTGGGGCCCTTGCCATGCAGGCAGCTTGGCTCTGTCCTGGGAAGGAAGCCTGGCTGGGGTCTGGCTTCCCAGTGACCCTGGAGTCATAGTTGTAGTCACTTTCCTGTGATTCTGCCAGACAAGCGCATGCAAAGGCTTTGGTCCAACCTCCCACGAGTACCATCGGTCGGTGTATCTGGTGGACTCTCCCAGGTATGCCTCTTGTCTGAAGACATGGGAAAGTGGGGTGGCAGGCAGTGACCCAGAGCTCGGCTCAGCGGTCCAGCTGCCCATGGGTCATGTCAGCAGGCGTGGACTTCACGACATGTTCCCTCTCCAGTTTCAGTTGGGGAGGGGCTTTGGTCCTGGGAACTCTCCTTCCCTTGGAGCAACAGTGGCAGGTCTGATGGGCATGTCTGTGGTTCAGTGCTGGCTTCGCGCAGTGCGCTTCCTGTCCTCCTGCTCAGTGCTGTCCTGGAGGACTGGGCACACAAAAAGCTGACCCCGAGCTGACCTTGCAGCCCCACTCTCCTAACTGGCTGAGCCGGCTGGGAGGCAAGCCTCAACGTGCTGGCTCACGCGGGAAAGGTAAACTTTAGAGTAGTTGGGAGCTTGTGTCTAATTTGTCAGACCCCATCAAGCTCCACACTTCACATCTGGACTACAAATCGTAGGTTATACCTCCAATGCTGTTACTTAAGATTTATCTAAGTATTTGTGAGAGCATTAGAGAGAGGGGGCTCTTCCGTCCACTGGTTTACGTTCCAGGTAGCTGAGGCAGCTGACACTGGTGAAGCCCAAGCCAGGAGCCAGGGGCTCCATCGGGGTCTCCCACGTGGCTGACAGGGGTCCAAGCACTTGGGCCATCCTCCGGTGCCTTCCCAGGGGCGTGAGCAGGGAGCTGGGTCAGAAATGGCGCAGCCAGCACTGCAGCACCACGTGGATCTCAACACTTCCCACGTGTAAGAACAAACAAGAGCTCAAGATGGTCACCCAAAGGAAAAGAAAGCACAGGGCATGGCCTGGGAAGCGGATCTCCCAGAGCCCAGGGCAAGAAGCAAGCGTGCACCCAGCGAGTGAGGTCTTGGGCTGCTAAACACATCCCTGCTGGTAGCAGAGGGAATGAGAGTTAAATGAGACAGCATTTTACATCTGGTTAACCAAACGGAAAATAAAGCAACGTTCAACACTTTGTCACTTAGGGCATAAACTGGCAGAGCCAAGGACGGGCAGTGCCTGGGGGCACCCCCTGCTGGCCCATTTCTCATCTCAGCCCCTTTGGATGCTCTTGGTGGTGGTCCCGAGGGAGGTTGGAAAGACCCAGCTCAAGGCCCCAGCAGGTTCTGTCCCACTCCTCCGAGGTGGGGGAGGGCAGTAGTACCTGCTCAGGTGCTCCCAGGAGGGTGGGAAGAGCAGCTCTTAGGAACCCCTTGACTGAGGCTGAGGCTCTCCACCCTCCTGACCAAGACTGGCCAGGCAAAGGCATCCCATGCCTCATCCATGTCAGTGGTTCAGACAACATCAAATAAGAATTTAAAAAGAAATGTGGGGGCCTGGCGGCATGGCCGAGCTGCTAAAGTCCTTGCCTTGAACTCGCCGGGATCCCATATGGGCACCAGTTCTAATCCCAGCAGCTCCACTTGCCTTCCAGCTCCCTGCTTGTGGCCTGGGAAAGCAGTCGAGGACGGGCCAAAGCTTTGGGACCCTGCACCCGTGTGGGAGACCCAGAGGAGGCTCCTTGCTCCTGGCTTCAGATTGACTCAGCTCCAGCTGTTGCGCTCACTTGGTGGGTGAACCATTGGACAGAAGACGTTCCTCTCTGTCTCTCCTTCTATCTGTATAACTGACTTTCCAATAAATAAAATAAAATAAATCTTTAAAAAGAAAGAAATGCGGGATTCACAGTAGTATTAGGTTTACAGTGCTGCTCCAAGATCACACACAGAATCACACAGACATCACACAGATGCCCGGTGAAAAGGACAGCCACCAGGGGAGGTGGTCTCGCCGTAGGGGGAGAGCGCTCACCGCCCGGCAGCCGAGCGGCCAGGCCAGGCCACGTATTCCGCTACCCAGAGACGCCCCGCCATCCAGGAGGCGTGCGCCCCGCGCCCCGCGCCCCGCGCCCCGCGCCCCGCGCCCCGCGCCCCGCGCCCCGCGCCCCGCGCCCCGCGCCCCGCGCCCCGCGCCCCGCGCCCCGCGCCCCGCGCCCCGCGCCCCGCGCCCCGCGCCGCCGGCCCTTGCGCACACTGCGGCCCTCGCCAGGGGCCCCGCGCCGCCGGCTGCCCTTGCGCACACTGCGGCCTTCGCCAGGCGTCCGCCGCGGGGTCCTGGCCCAACGGCTCGGCCCGAGCGCGCACGGGGAGGGAGCGGCGGCGGCCGGCTGGCGGGGGCGCACGCAGCCCGGGGCGGGGCGGCAGCGCTGCTGTCCCCGCCCCGCACGCTGCTGGGCCGCCGGCGGCTGCGGCGCTGAGCCGGGGAAGCAGGAGCCGGCGGCCGGCCTCTCCTGCGTTGCTCCCCGGGCATGTGAGGGGTCCCGGGCCGGCGGGGCCCGCAGCTGCGCCGAGGCTGCCGCGGACGGTAACGGGGGGCGCGGGATGCGGTGTCTGTGTGTGTGCGTGTCTGTGTGTAAGGGGAGCGTCGTTCCAGGCCGTGGCCGGGCAGGGCGGCGCGTGAACAGCGTGCGGGCTGTGCGGGGGCGCGAGGCCCAAGCCAGGCCGCTATCGTTGCCCGGCCGGGGACGATGGAGTCTGGCAGGCCGGAAGGGGGATGGCCGCTGCAGTCTCCCCAGCTCCGCGCACGGTGGCCTGGACGCAGCGTTCAGGGGCTAAAAATATTGCCCCTGAGTGAGATCCGCTCGCTCTAAGTAGGGCACGACGCAGAGGCGAGCGAGCTCCCGGGCCCCCAGGACCGGAGTCCCTTGTTTTCTTACATGAGGCCCCGGGGAGCAGGCTTCTGGCTTCCACCAGCAAGCAGACAGGGGAAAAGGGCCTAGTTGGGCTGGTGGGGTTCCTGAAGTTGCCCCACACCCTGACAGATGTGCCCCACCTCTCCCAAGTCGGGGGACTTGGAGCGTCATTGCCGGTTTCTGGGGGTCCTCCAAGTGCCCTGTCACAGCAGCTGAAAGTTTTGCCTTGAAGGCATCTGGATTTAACAGAGAGTGAGTGTAGGACTGGCTCTGGGCTAGAAACATAAGCATTTTTTTCGGTTAAAAAAATTTTTTAAATTATTTATTCGAAAGGCCTTCATTCCACTGGTTCATCCCCCAGAGGACCGCAATGCTCCAGAGCCTGGCCTGTCCAAAGCCAGGAGCTTCTTCTAGGTCTCTCACACAGGTGCAGGGTCCCAAGGCTTTGGGGGTGGCCCTGTACTGCTTTCCCAGGCCACTAGCAGGGAGCTGGGTAAAAAGAAGAGCTGCTGGGACTTAAGCAGGATTCACATGGCTGCAGGTGCCCTGATTGGAGGATTAACCTACTACGCCACAGCAGTGGCCCTGGAAAAATGCTCTGCTGGAGAAGATCTGTTGGTGTTGAATGCCTGACTCCCAAGGGGACACGGGAAGTTTTCCCTGCCTGCCTCGTTGGCCCTGGCTATGGTGCCTTTCAGCCAAGCTGAGTAGGGGCCAGTGAAACTAGCAGCACGTGGCCCAGCATCCTACGGGACGGGCTGGCCTTGCCGGAAGCTGGCTGTGGTCAGGAGGTTGTGAACTGAGCTCTGTCTTTAGCCCAGTCAGCTCTCTGTGGGACCCAGGTTTTATATAGCTCAGCAAAAGCAGGGTGTCACTCTGCACCCCAGGTCAGAGCTGTCCCAGGAGCAGGCAGGACCCCCAACCCCACCCAATGCTGCTCCCCTGTACCTCCAGAACCCCAGACATGAGAATTCCTGCAGCCTCTGTTGGGTTCCTGTTCTTAGAAGCTTGTTTGTTGTTTTCAGATATACACATGTGTTTGAAGAGAGAGAGAGAGAGAGAGGGAGAGAGGGAGAGACAAATAGAGGTCTTCCATGTGCTGGTTCAGTCTCGCAGTGTGCATGATAGCTGAGGCTGGGCAGGGTTGAAGCCAGCAGCCAGGAACTCCATCCGAGTCTCCCACGTGGGTGGCAGGGACCGAAGCACTTGGGCTGTCGTGTGCTGCCCCCAGGTACATCAGCAGGGAGTTGGATCACGAGTGGAGTAGCTGAGGCCTGCAGGAGGCAGGCTGTCTGTTAGGGGATCCCAGACAGCAGCTTCACCTGCCATGCCACAGTGCCCACCCTTGAAACCCTCCGTTCTTACCAGAGTTGGGCAAGTGTGAGTGTTCCTTAAACAGCCTCTGGACCTCCTGGGCCACTGAAGGGGATTTGTGTGTTGCAGCTACGAGGGGGTGTCTGTCCCCGCAAGTGTGTGTGGAGGCCAGGATGAAGCTGAAGAAGCAGGTGACCGTGTGTGGGGCTGCTATCTTCTGCGTGGCGGTCTTCTCGCTCTACCTCATGCTGGACCGCGTGCAGCACGATCCTGCCCGGCATCACGGTGGTGGGAACTTCCCCCGGGTGAGTCCCGTTGCTGGGGGGTCAGTGGGTCGCATCTGTTTGGACACCGGGTTGTCATGGGCTCTGGCTGTCTGCCTGGCTGGAGTATTGTACCAGCCCAGGACAGGGGTGTCCTTTCCCAGTGGGCAGGCTTTTCTAGAAACCTGGAGCTCAAAGCAGCAGCGGCAGAAAACAAAGAAGGAAGGAGGGCTGTGTGCTCTGGGGTGCCTCCTGTCTTCGTGACAGACATTGTTAATCGATGACAGCATCTCTTTTTTTTTTTTAAAGATTTATGTATTTATTTTTATTAGAAAGAAATACAGAGAGGAGGGGAGAGACAGAGAGGAAGATCTTCCGTCCGATGATTCACTCCCCAAGTGACTGCAAAGGCTGGAGCTGAGCTAATCTGAAGCCAGGAATCTCTTCAGGTCTCCCACATGGTTGCAGGATCCAAAGGCTTTGGGCCGTCCTTAACTGCTTTCCCAGGCCACAAGCAGGGAGCTAGATGGCAAGTGGAGCTGCTGGGATTAGAACTGGCGTCCATATGGGATCTTGGGTGTGCAAGGCGAGGACTTTAACCACTACGCTATTGCGCCGGGCCCTGACAGCATCTTTTGAAACCAAGCCTCGATCAATGTAGGCTGTAAATCTGAACACAGGATCCCAGCCAGGCACCTCACCACAGGTTGCTGCCCTGTGAGCTGGAGAGGGCTGTGGACCACATGTAGGCAGAGCATTCTGTCCTTGGTGGCGGGGATGGCTCACAGTCAGGTATCCCATGTTGCCCCATGCAGGACAGCATACTGTGGGGAAGGAGAGGCTCAGCTTACTTCTGTCTGCTCTTCCTGGCAGAGCCAAATCTCGGTGCTGCAGAACCGCATCCAGCAGCTGGAGCAGCTACTGGAGGAGAACCACGAGATCATCAGCCACATCAAGGACTCGGTGCTGGAGCTGACAGCCAACGCCGAGGGACCACCCGCCCTGCTACCCTACTACACGGCCAATGGCTCCTGGGTGCTGCCGCCGGAGCCCCGGCCCAGTTTCTTTTCTGTCTCCCCCCAGGATTGCCAGTTTGCTCTGAGGGGCCGGGGCCAGAAGCCAGAGCTGCAGGTGAGAATGAGAGCCAGGGCGGGTGTGGTGTCGGTGGCCACAGCCTCTGTCCACTGAGCCTCCCATCCTCTTGACCACCTGGCAGATGCTCACTGTGTCAGAGATGTTGCCATTTGACAACGTGGATGGCGGGGTGTGGAAGCAAGGCTTCGACATCTCCTACAGCCCACATGACTGGGACACTGAAGACCTGCAGGTGTTTGTGGTACCCCACTCACACAATGACCCAGGTGAGTATTGTAGGCCCCTCGCCCCTTGCCAGGGCAAAGGAAGCAAGCTGGCGCCGGGACCATCCTCAGTGGCCATGTGTGTGTTTGATCTCCAGGCTGGGTCAAGACCTTCGACAAGTACTACATGGAGCAGACGCAGCACATCCTCAACAGCATGGTGTCCAAGCTGCAGGAGGACCCCCGGCGGCGCTTCCTCTGGGCCGAGGTCTCCTTCTTTGCCAAGTGGTGGGACAACATCAGTGCCCAAAAGAAGGCAGCGGTCCGGAGGCCAGTGCTGGTCGGGGAGGTGTGGGGAGGGCTGGCATCCGAGCACTGAGGTAGGGGTTGGGGTGGGAATTAGAGGCCCCCAGGAGCCATAGCAAGGATAGGGCGGTGAGGGGCTGGTGTTGGTTTAAGGGGTGCCAACGTGAGAAAGAGGAGGAGAGATGGCAGGTGTCTGAGCAGGAGTGAAGAAAGTGCCAGCCTTACCTCCTGGAAGCACAGTGAGCCACCTCTCAAAGAAGCAGGGCCAGGCCCCAGTAGAGGGAGAAGGAAAAAGAGAAGGCAGACATTGGTCCCCTGGGTTCTGCGTTCCCATGAACCAGCTCTGTGAGGCTGGGATGCCAGGACTGGGCACCCTATGCTGAGTATGAGCGGCCCCTCCTCCGCAGGCTGGTGGGGAACGGGCAGCTGGAGATTGTCACGGGCGGCTGGGTTATGCCGGATGAGGCCAACTCCCACTACTTTGCACTGATTGACCAGCTCATCGAAGGCCACCAGTGGCTGGAGAGAAACCTGGGTGAGTCCAGGGTCTAGTCCCTTGCCACTGAGCCACCCAGCCACACACAGGCCTGTGAGCATCAGTGTTTCATGGTTCCTTCCTAGGCTGATTCCGCTGCCAGGGCCTGTTGGGATGGCATTTGTCTACTGCCTATGGGGTGCAGAGGCAGAGCTGGGTCCCACCCGCAGGAGGCCAAGAGGCCGGGCCCCGAGCTGCTGAAAGTGTGTGTTGTGTTTCCCATGTCCCACACAGGTGCAGTGCCACGCTCTGGCTGGGCAGTGGACCCCTTCGGCTACAGCTCCACCATGCCCTACCTGCTGCGCCGCGCCAACCTGACCAGCATGCTCATTCAGAGGGTGCACTACGCCATCAAGAAGCACTTCGCTGCCACCCACAGCCTGGAGTTCATGTGGAGGCAGATGTGGGGTAAGGCCAGGTAGGGCAGAGGGGGTCACAATAGCATAGTACTCGCCTGTGAGCAGCGTGGTGGGGGAGATTCTTCCAGTCCCCTAGAGCAGGCCCCAGGCCCCACGTCCCTATGCACTGACCTCTGCTAGTTGAGTGCCCTCTGCAGCCTGAGGTCTGGTTAGAGCCTCAATGTCTCCCAGGGCTGCCATGGGCCTGGGCAGGTCTGTGCCTGCCCTGGGAGCTGACCAGGCATGGCATGTCTCCTGCAGACTCCGACTCCAGCACAGACATCTTCTGCCACATGATGCCCTTCTACAGCTATGATATCCCCCACACCTGCGGCCCGGACCCCAAGATCTGCTGCCAGTTCGATTTCAAACGCCTGCCTGGTGGGCGCATCAACTGCCCCTGGAAGGTGCCGCCCCGGGCCATCACCGAGGCCAACGTGGCTGAGAGGTATTGGCCCGGGGCTGTGGGTTGCATGGGATGCGGTCCTTAGCATCCTGTGGAGGGAGGAATGAAGGAGGGTACCCAGGAGACTTGCCTCTGGGCCTGCGCTCTGCCTGATACTGGAGAGTGGGTATGGCTGGTGGATTCAGGCTCTCAGGTGCAGTGGGGTGGCAGGGGACAGGCCCAGGCTCTCATCAGGTGCATTATAGGAGAGGCCCTTCCCACCTCTCTGGAGCAGCTGTTTGGAACCCTTTTTATTTTTTTTTTATTTTTTTTTTTAAGATTTATTTATTTATTGGAAAGTCAGATATACAGAGAGGAGGAGAGACAGAGAGGAAAATCTTCCGTCCGATGATTCACTCCCCAAGTGAGTGCAACGGCCGATGCTATGCCGATCCGAAGCCAGGATCCAGGAACTTCTTCCGGGTATCCCACACAGGTGCAGGGTCCCAAAGCTTTGGGCCGTCCTCAACTGCTTTCCCAGGCCACAAGCAGAGAGCTGGATGGGAAGTGGAGCTGCTGGGATTAGAACCGGCGCCCATATGGGATCCTGGTGCGTTCAAGGCGAGGACTTTAGCCGCTAGGCCATGCCGCCAGCCCCATGGAACCCTCTCTATTGCCAAGCATTTGTTCACCCCAGCCAGTGTTCTCTGAGCTCACTGCAGAGCCAGCCGACTCACCCGGCGGTGAACTATTCTCCAATTAGATAATACAGGTTAACCATCCCTAATCCAAAAATCCAAAATCAAGTGTTCCACATACCTGAAGCACCAGTGTGATTGTGAATAGAAAATTCCACCTTGACCCTGTGTGTATAGTCAGACACAGGCACACCAGAACGATTGTACACAGCTTCCTTCTGGCTGGGTGTGTAAGGCTGTGCCTGAGACCCAATTGAATTCCATGCTTCAGACTTGGGTCTCACTCCCATTCCCAGGGATTGTTTATTATGCTGATATAGTTACTACAGAGTCTAAGAAAACACAAAATCTGAAACCCTGCTTGCTGGTCCCAAGTTTGTTTTGGCTAAGGGTCCCCCAGCCCCCAGCTCCTCACAGACTTGGAACTAGAGTGCCTTCTGTGTGCTTGGGTGTTCTGGTCTGTCCCTGAGGCAGCCAGTGGGATCCTGATCACATCCACCTGCAGACCCATCAGGCAGCCCCCAGCCTCGGGATAAACAGGCACGTATTCCTGGCGAGGATCGGCAGGGGCCCCCAAAGGACGTGGCCCTTCCTGGAGTTGGCTCCCTTTGGAAGGCCCTGGTGGGGTGGGAACTGGACAGCCATTTCACCAAAATTTTCAGGCAGCAAGCTGAACTGGTTTGCATGTTGCAGTGCTCTAATTTCCACGGGGACCACAAGGCCAAACATGTGACTGAAAGGGAGAGAAAGCTGTCTTTTGTTGCCAGACTTCTAAAGGCTCTTTCTGGCCCGAATCTAGGGCTCTCCTGAGGCGTGGCTCTCCTGAGGCCGTTCGCAAAGCAGCAATTGTAACTCTTGCTACTGGCCTAGGTTTATGGACAACTCGTATAAAAGAGGAATACTTTTAAGATTTTGGTAATTTATTTAAAAGACAGAGTGACAGAAAAAGAAAGGGAGAGGGATAGGGCTTCCATCCACTGTTGACTGCCCAAATGGCTGCAATGAGCAGGGTTGTGCCAGACCAAAGCTAGGCACCTGGACCTCCATCTTGGTCTCTTATGTGGGTGGCAGGAACCCAAGCACTTGGCCCTCTTCCACTGGTGCACTAGTAGGAAGCTGGATTAGAAATGCAGCAACCAGTGGAGCAGGCCTCACGGTAGAACAGGTGAAACCTCCACCTACAGTTTGAGTCCTATCTACCCCAGTTGTGATCCAGCTCTCTGCTTGTGGCCTGGGAAAGTGGTGGAAGATGGCTCAAGTCCTTGGTACCCTACACCCATATGGGAGACCTAGAAGAAGTTCTGGCTTCTGGTTTTGAATCAGCTCAGCTCTGGCTGGTGCAGCTATTCAAGGAATGAACCAGAGGATGGAATCTCTCTCTTTCCTTCTCTCCCTGTGACTCTGCCTTTCAAATAAAAATAAATCTTAAAGAGAAAGGAAGAAAGGTAAAAAGAAAGGAAGAGGAGAAAAGAAAAAAGAAGAAAGAAATGGAGCAGCCAGGATCTGAAGCTGCTGTCCAGTATTTATGGGGTGCCACAACTCAACACTTAAGCCAGAGTGCTACAACATAGCCCGAGAACTTCGAGAACTTCGTTTTCCCCTTTGAAATCCCTAGCAGACATGAGTGGAAAGTGGTCATTGATGGGTGTGGAGGTCGCTTCTTGAGAACTAAATAGAGACTTAGCTGGTGCAATGAGTAGATTTGTGACTTTAACTGTGATGGTTACTATAGACCAACCGAGTCCCATAGGATCTCACAGGGTGGCAAGGAGCGGGTGGTGAAGCCCCACCTTCCGCTGGGCACCAAGATCGGGAGAAACCAGGGGGGAGAGGAAGGGCCTCATGGGGCAGCAGATGTGGGAGGTGAGGCTGGCCTAAACACAACCTTGGGGTGATGGTGAGGGCTACTGCAGGCCCCTGAAAGTGTACACTGCTCACGTTCTGCTTGTGTCCATGGGCTGACCTGTCCTGGACCCCTGCATCTGGGCTGGGCCCCTGACTGAGAGGTGTTGGCCAGAGGATTGCCAGGGAGCAGATTCTAGACTGTTCTGTCAAGACCCGATAGAGGACGAGAAAGCAGAAATGCAAGGTCTTAGTGTTTCTAAAAGATCACAGCCGGGGAGGGTTCAGGGGGCTGCTCTGTTGGGTGTCCCTTCACATACTCACCTCTGGGTGGGCCATCTGACGCTGCTGAGCCCTGGTATCACTCGTGTCCGTCTCCGCCCAGGGCTGCCGTGCTCTTGGATCAGTATCGCAAGAAGTCCCAATTATTCCGGAGCAATGTTCTTCTGGTGCCGCTGGGTGATGACTTCCGGTATGACAAGCCCCAGGAATGGGATGCCCAGTTCTTCAACTATCAGCGGCTCTTTGACTTCCTCAACAGCAAGCCGGACCTCCACGTTCAGGTGTGTGTGGTAGGGCAATGGAGGGGGAGGACACGGGCTGGAGGTTGGTGTGCCATGCTGCAGCCAGGCCCTTCCTGGGCGCTATGCACCCGATGTGTGACCGACTCCAAGACAAGACTCCCCTCCACCATGGCAGTTAGTGCCCGCCCCGCTTCTGGCTGCAGCACTGGAGGTCCTAGGCCTGAGGGAGTGGGTTTTGGGGGCTTCTTCACAGGCCCAGTTTGGCACGCTCTCGGACTACTTTGATGCACTGTACAAGAGGAGTGGGGTGGAGCCTGGGGCCCGGCCCCCAGGCTTTCCTGTGCTGAGTGGAGATTTCTTCACCTACGCTGACCGGGAGGACCATTACTGGACTGGCTATTTCACTTCCCGGCCATTCTACAAGAGCCTGGACCGTGTTTTAGAAGCCCACCTACGGTAAGGCACCCCCCCCAGCCTCCACTGCCCTTCCAGGTTGGGGTGAGGGGTGTCACCATGGTGGGATTGAAGTGAGGGCTGAATGGCTCCAAGGCCAGGGCAGGTGGAGGAGCCAGAAGTGGTGTGGAGCTGGTGGGCTGACTGCTGCTGTCTCTGGACAGGGGGGCGGAAATCATGTACAGCCTGGCCGTGGCTCACGCCCGCCGCGCCGGCCTGGCCACCCAGTACCCGCTAACGGACTTTGCCCTCCTGGCGGAAGCCCGGCGCGCCTTGGGGCTCTTCCAGCACCACGATGCCATCACCGGCACTGCCAAGGAGGCAGTCGTTGTGGACTACGGCGTCAGGTGGGAGCCCCTTCCTTTCCCATCCTGAGAAAGCAGGTGCAGGCTGGGCTGGTCAGCAGGTGGGCCAGTTGGGTATGGGCAGCCTCCCATCATGGTCATTGCCTCTTCTGCGCTGGCCACAGGCTCCTGCGCTCCCTGGTTGGTCTCAAGCGGGTCCTCATCAATGCTGCTCACTACTTGGTGCTGGGCGATAAGAGCACTTACCACTTTGACCCTGAGGTGCCCTTTCTTCAAGCGGTAAGCCCCTAGGGGTATGCGTGGGGGTAGGGGTGGGGGCACTTCCCCACCTGATATACCAGGATGGGCAGAGGGGAGGAGCTGGGACTGGGACCATGACCGCCCTTGCTGCCTGCTGCATTCCAGGATGACACCCGCGTGAATCACGATGCCCTGCCCGAGCGCACGGTGATCCCACTGGACACCTCGCCCAGGTGAGCGGGGCACCTGGTTTCTGTCCTAGCCACCGTGCCTGCTGCTCCCGCTCCCTGCTTAGCCCTCCTTCTCCCCACAGATTTGTGGTACTCTTCAACCCATTGGAACACGAGCGGCTCAGTGTGGTGTCCTTGCTGGTCAACTCACCACGGGTGCGCGTCTTCTCTGAGGAAGGCCAGCCCCTGGCTGTGCAGATCAGCCCCCACTGGAGCTCTGCCACGGACATGGTGCCTGATGTCTACCAGGTGAGGCTGGCTGGGGCCCCCAGCACTGGCAGTGCCCTTCCTGGGGCATCCCGCCCCCTCCAGCCATGGGTCTTGCTTCCTCCCCATGTTGGGGACTGGAAGCCCAGAAGATGGTCCACTTTTGGTACTAAAGTCTGCCCTTCAAAGGAAGGTGCAGGTTGTGATGGTCACAGTGACAGTGAGGGCAGCAGTGATGGGACTCATCAGCTGTGCACTTCCCAAATAACTGTGGTATATGCAGTGGTTGCTTGGAAGTTTCCCAGACATCACTTGTGGTTCCATGTGTGAGGAGGGGGAAAAGACAGGCAGCTTCAGACTCTCAGGGGAGACAGCAGCCCAGCAGCTGGAGGGGCCCACACATGTTCCCAGACCCGCATCCGGAGCTGTTGCCTCTCCCTGTGCCTGCAGGTGTCTCTGCCTGTCCGCTTGCCAGCGCTGGGCCTGGGTGTGCTACAGCTACAGCAGGGCCTGGACAGGCTCCGCACACTGCCCTCGTCTGTGCGTGTCTACCTGCAAGGCCGACGGCTGACTGTCAGCAGGCATGAGGCATTCCCCGTGCGTGTCATTGACACAGGTGCCAGCGACTTCGCCCTCAGCACCCACTATATGCAGGTCTGGTTCTCAGGCCTGACCGGACTCCTCAAGGTAAAGGCTGGGGAGAGGGGGGGGGGGGGCTCCGAGAGGGTGGGGGTGGGGAGGGCCGCCTCCAGGGCAAGCCTGACATGCCTGGTGTGGGGCCAGGGGTCAGGGCTGTGTTTCTCGGCAGAGTATCCGAAGGGTGGATGAGGAGCAGGAGCACCGAGTGGATATGCAGTTCCTTATCTATGGCACCCGAACTTCCAAAGATAAGAGCGGCGCCTACCTCTTCCTGCCTGACGGCGACGCCCAGGTACCCTAGGAGTGCTACGGGAGGAGGGGGCCTGGACTTGTCTGTGTGGTCTTTGCTGCCCTGGGCCTGGACCCAGGCCAGCTGTGGTCTGCTGTGGACTCAGCAGCTGGCGGCTGTCTCCCCAGCCCTACATCCCCAAGGAGCCCCCTGTGGTGCGGGTCACGGAAGGCCCCTTCTTCTCTGAGGTGGTGGCCTACTATGAGCACATGCATCAGGTGGTGCGGCTTTACAATGTGCCAGGTGAGCCCTGTGGACCCGGGTGATGGAGGGTATCCTGGGATGGGGAGGATGCAGGGCATGGCCTTGCCCCACCTAGCTCAGCCCAGTCCAGCCCAGCCCAACCCCCCGTGTTACCACTTCGTTCCTGTGCCCAGGGGTGGAGGGGCTGTCCCTGGACATGGCATCCCTGGTGGATATCCGGGACTATGTCAACAAGGAGCTGGCCCTGCGCCTCCACACGGACGTGGACAGCCAGGGCACCTTCTTCACAGATCTCAACGGCTTTCAGGTAGGTGTGGCAGAGCGCCCAATACCTCTGCTGAGCCTCCTGCCTCTGCCCCAGGGGCTGGCAGGTGGTCTGCCCTGACAGACGGGGAGAAGCAAAGCCCCAGTGGTGGCCATGGCCGCGTGCCCTTGACCTGTTGACCTTGTCCCTGGCAGGTGCAGCCCCGGCGGTACCTGAAGAAGTTACCCCTGCAGGCCAACTTCTATCCCATGCCTGTCATGGCCTATATCCAGGACCCACAGGAGCGCCTTACACTGCACACTGCCCAGGCTCTGGGTGTCTCCAGCCTTGGAAACGGTGAGGGGGCATGTGCTGGGCCTGGGAATGCTTTGGGTCCACGGTCCAGTAGGTGCTCCACTTGGGGGCCTCATCACCTGGTCACCAGCCTGCTGCAGGTCCCTATCACCTGTCCATCCCCAGCGCTCCTCCTTCCTCATCTCTGGTATGGGCTGGGCCTGCCCTCTGCTGTGCTGCCTCGAGCCCAAGCACTCTAGATTGCCTCTTTGAGCTACCAGCTTGCATTGCAGTGTGCCTTATTCTCGGGGGCCACAGGGGGACTGGGATGCAGGCCGAGGGCTCACACTTTAGTTCCCCAGGCCAGCTGGAGGTGATTTTGGACCGGCGGCTCATGCAAGATGACAACCGGGGCCTTGGCCAGGGGCTCAAGGACAACAAGAGGACCTGGAACCATTTCCGCCTCCTGCTGGAACGGCGCACTGCAGCCCCAAGTCCAAGTGAGGTGAGACCTAAAGACTGGGACAGGTCCCAGGGTGGGTAGGCAGAGGGAAGGAAGTGGGGGTGCTGCAGCCTAGCATGCAAGGGGCACTGGAGGGGGCCAGATAGAGAGAGAAGGTCTGAGCTGTAGGGTATGCAGGGAGCAGCCTGGCACCTCCCTCCAGCAGAAGCTGCTGCCCACCCCTGCATTTTCATCCCCCTTGCCCTCTTTTGCCCCACCCCAGCACTCCCTTGCACTGTGCTCCAGTCCCGCTCACCTCATGGCTCTCTCTACCCCGCTAGCCTGGCTTTCTCACTAAACTGGCAGCCATGTTTAGGAACTTGTCTCTCTGCAGCAGCAGGAAGCAAGAGGTAAGGGAGTCGGGGAGCCAGCTCATGCAGGTGTGGCCATGGCTGGAGCCTGTGGTGACAGCACCTGTTGGTGTCCTGGGCCACTGTGTGTGCATCAGGTAGATGCTGAACCCCCGCTGTGCTGGAGGGACTAAGCGGAACGTACCTGACACAGGTCGTTGTCAACTCTATTAGCAATTTGCTCATGAGTCAGGGTGGGTGAAGACCAGGTCTGTGAAAATGCAGAAAAGACACAGTCCTGCTGGTCACGAGGCATGAGACCGTAACATCCATCAAGGCTTCCTGGAGGAGGTGTCGGACAAACTTGCCTCTGATGAATGGCATGTGATTTGAATACACAGACAGAGGCTGCAAGGACAGGCAGGAGGAACCTGGGGACAGTGAGTACATTCAGTTGGGCTGTGGGACAGCTGCTAGCTACACACAGTGGTTTTCATTCATACAAGCCTTCATTCATACTGCCCACATTTTTAAAAATTTGTGTATGTTCACTTTTATTGATTTATTTGAAAGGCAGAAGAATATACATATACATAAAGAGAACCATCTGCTTGTTCATTTCTCAAATGCCCATAATACCAGGGTTGGGCCAGGCCAAAGCTTGGAGCCAGGAGCTTTATCTGGATCTCCCCCGGGGGAGGCAGAGATTCAAGGCCTCAGGCCATCGTCTGCTGCCTCCCAGGTACACAAGCAGGTGCACTGCCCAAGGGACATGTGTCTGGATCCTGGGCACTCCCATACAGCATGCAGGCATCAGCCACTGCATCAGTGTCCACCCATACACCTGGAGCCTGCTAGACAGCATGGGCATAACATTTCCGTTACTGCCGAAAGCTCTGCCAGGCAGTGCCAGCTGCAGCATGGGGTCAGGGGTCTAAGCAGGAAGGGCACAGTCAGAACCCTGTCCCTACCCTGTGGCTCTGACAGTAAGACACAGGGCTGTGTGGAGGACATCAGAGGTGGGGAGGTGCCGTAAGCGCTGGTAGCTTGAACCAAGCCCTGGGGAGGGAGGGGCTCTAGGCCCCTGGAACAAAAAAGCAGCTGCTCTGGGGGAGTGTTCTGCTCAGGCCTGTGGGTATGACCCTCAGAGTCACCTCCACCCCAAGAGAGGGTTCTGGGGGTACCACTACTGGAGACCTCAGGCCAGTCCTGCCAAGAAGTCCTGCTTGTCTGCTGCTGGGTTGTGACATGAGCCTGGCGCTCCTCACAGTGTTAGACAAACAAAGTAAAAGGCCAGGAAACAGCTGGTCTGAGCTGGTATACTTAGATGTTGTTCATTATGTGGGGTGTGGCCACAATGGGGCAGTCAGAGTATGCTTTCTGTGGGAGCACCTGCCTTCTCCCTCAGCCTGGCTGCACTCTCACTTTCTTGGGCCCACCTTACAGGTCCAGGAAAGCTACCCGTCCCTGCTCAGCCACCTGACCTCCGTGCACCTGAATACTCCCGTGCTAGCCCTGCCTGTGGTCAAGAGGCAGTCCCCAGATCCTGGGCTGCGCCCCTTTCACCCTCTGGCTGTCTCATTGCCTTGTGACTTCCACCTGCTCAACCTGCGCTCACTCCAGGCTGAGGTGAGTGCCTGTTCACTGTCCCTCGGGGCAGGTGCTGGCGGGCTGGGTGCAGCTGTGTCCCCAGCTCACAGGACTCATGCTCACTGCCCTCTGTGCTGTCACCAGGAGGACACCCTGCCCTCGCTGGACACAGCACTCATCCTGCACCGCAAGGGCTTTGACTGTGGCCTTGAGGCCAAGAACCTGGGCTTCAACTGCAGCACAAGCCAAGGCAAGGTGAGCAGGGCTGGGGTGCTTAGGGTAGGGAGAGGGCATGCAGTTTGCCAGTGTGGATGGCAGCAGGCAAGGAGAAAGTGCTCCACTCTGCTCCCAGGTTTTCTGGAGATGGGGGAAAACGGGTTTTTTTTCCCAAGCCCTGGCAGGGCAGGTGCCAAAGGAGAACTCCTCTTGAAGGCAGAACTTCTGTCCAATAGAGAACACCACAAGTCAAAAAAAACGGGCAGGCATTGGGTTGCCACTTAGGGTGCCTGCAGCCCGTATAGGTGTCTGGTCATGGCTTGGTTACTCGCTTTGGATCCAGCTTCCTGTTGGTGCATACCTTTGGAGGCAGCAATGACTGCTCAAATACTTAGGTCCCCTCCACTCACCCACATGGGAGACCTGGGTCCTAGGCTCCTGGCTTCGGTCTGGCCCAGCCTTACCTGTTCTGGACACTGGGGAAGTGAACCAGTGGCTGGAAGATCTCTCTCTCTCTACTTTTCAAATAAAATGCAAATTGAACAGCAAAACAAACCACCACATTGTGCCTTTGCAAGCTCTGTTAAAGGTTTCGGTGGCACTGATAATGCCTTAAAAGCCAAGACCTTTGCTGGCCTCAAGAGATGCTGACATGGATACAGACATGGGCCCCCAACCTCAGAGAGCTGTGGGCAGGCTTGGGGCCAAGTGGCTGCTAGGGAGCCCTGAGACTGGAGGTAAATGCTGTGTGTGTGTGCAGGTGCGTTCCTCCTAAGAGGGACACAGCTTTGCTCAGAGGGAGGGACGGAGAGAGACACCTGCCCAACAGTAGGAAGAGAGATGCCTACCCAATAGTAGACATGCTTACCCAAAAGCAGAAGTGGCGGGGGGAGAGATGTCTACCCAATAGCAGAGAGAGACGTCTACCCAGCAGCCAGGGCCAGCTGGGCTGAAGCCAGGAGCCTGGCAATCCGTCTTGGTCTCTCACATGAGTGGCAGGGACCCAAGAACCTGGGCCATCCACCTGCTGCTTCCTTGGGTGCACGTGAGTAGGAGGCTGAATTGGAAGCAAAAAACGGGACTTGAACTGGGTCCTTTACCTTGGGATGCTGGGGTCCTGGTGGCTTAGGCTGCAGCACGTGCCTGTCCCCAGGAACAGAGATGCAGAGACACACTGTCCAGAGTGTCTGCAGGCAGTGGCACTGTCTCCTTGTCTCCTCTGCACAGGTAGCATTGGGGAGCCTCTTCCGGGGCCTGGATGTGGGCTTCCTGCAGCCCACCTCCCTGACACTACTGTACCCACTGGCCTCGCCCTCCAACAGCACTGACATCTATATGGAGCCCATGGAGGTCGCCACCTTCCGTCTCCGCTTGGTGTAGGGCTCCCCATGCCTGAAGACAGCTCGTCCACAGGCTGCCTCTTCAAGTGACTATTGGGTTGGGCAAGCCACGCTGGCATCCCCTTCCAAGCTGCCTCCAAACTGTGACAGACATTTGCTGCTTATCGTTGCTTCTGTGTCAAGAGGCAGCCCACATAGGCTATGGCAGGTAGACGGCAGAAGCTAGTGAGGTCAGAGGGGAAGGCCCTGCACCAGGGTGGGTAGCCACCCAGCTGGACACAGGCTCCAGTACTCATCCTTTTCCCCAGAATGGGATGTAGGAGACATGAGGGCAGACAGTGGAGGTCAGGGAGACTGTCTGGGTGACAGCTCAGTGCCTGAGGTCTTGCAGAACTGTGGGAGGAGAGGGTGGGGGGCCTGGGCTGAGGGAGATGGGATCCCCACTGTCCCTCAGTCCCAAGGCCTGGCCCCACTCAGTGCCACCTGGCATACTTGCCTTTGGCTTGGGGTGACCCCAGGCAGGCAGGCATCCCAAGAAGGCGTCCACCTCATGCCTGGAAGTCAGGCCCTGCAGTTCCACCTATGGCTACCCTTCCACAGAAGCACTTGACTTCTGGCATGGGGGCACGGAGGGGACGGGATGCCCAGGGTTACCAATTAGGGATGAAAAAGCAGAGGCGGCATGAGCCTTCAGTTCAGCTTTGGTGAACACAGAATGCTTTCCATTTATCTCTGTAACTGCTGAAAAAAACATGTGATCAAAGTTAAAATCCGTCCCTTACCAGGAAAACTAAGTAAGTTAAAACTAGAGAAGCTTCCTCCCAGAGGTGGCCAGCTGAGGGTCAGCACTGCTGGCATCCCTGTTAGCATTAGCACTGGAACCAGCTAGGGCGTTTGCGATGCAGCAGCGTCTTGGGAAAGCACGCGAGGGAGACAGGAACAAACTCCAGTCGTCCTCTTTGAGAGCCAATAAAACCGCCTACCTGTAAATTCTGAGCAACCCAGCAGAGCCCTTCCGTGCAATGACACAGCGTGTCCAGCGACACTGGATGCTTTTTGGAGTTGAACAGGTTGCACAGCTGATCCGGGCGGGCGGGGAAGCAAGTGGTGCTCCCAGGGGAGGGGGGGTTGTGGAGGACAGTGGGGTGGATGAGGGTCTGAGAGGATGTGCATGTGTGTGTCCAGGCAGTGGCACCTGGGCGGGCCAGACCCCAGGCATGCAAGTGGAGTGGATGAACAAGGGGTGTTTTCAGAGGGAAAACATGGGTTATAAATAAGTAGTATCTGAGACAGTTTGCGAGCCGTTAGAGATCTCTACCTCACAGTTTTCACAAAAATTAGCTTAAAAAATAAAAGTACAAAAATAAAAATATAAGTACAAAATTAACAAAGTATATATATATTTTAAAAGGAGAGGCAGGGATGGAGAACACGCTCCTGTCTGCTGGTTCATTCCCCAAATACCTGCAGTGGCCAGGAGCTCAGAGCCACCCTGGATTTCCTGTGGGTGACAGGTACCCAGCCAAGAGAGCCGTCACCACCGCCTTCCAGGGCATACATGAATGCGAAGCTGAAACTGGGAACTGGAGCTGGGAATGAAACCCAGCTTGTCCAATTTGCAGGAAAAAAATATATATATTTTTATAACCTCTGGCAAGGGAAGATTTTTCCTAAACAGGAACCTTAAGAGATCTAATAAGGGAAAAGAGAAACATTTTTAGCCACACACACACATCAAAATAAAGTAGGTTTCTGTACAGTAGCAAATGTCAAGGTCAGAACACAGATAATTACACGTAAAGAGCTTGGAGAAGGGTTTGCTGGGAATGTTCACAGAAAGTCTGCAGGGCTTGGCAGCCAGCACCCCCAAAGTCTGAAGAGGTACAACTGAGTTCCCACACATTACCCAGCATCACTGCTGCCAGAATTGGGCTTCTCTGCTGGCAGGAGATTGCCAACAGGAAGCGTTAGCTATTGCCTGGTACAGCCAAGAGCGTTCCAGGTAGGAGCTGTCATCGTGTTAGGAAAGGATCCTGAGCAATTATATAATAGCAGGTGTGCCCTGCTAGTGTAATCTATTGTATACTCAAATGATAAGGGTAAATCTGTGTACCCCTAGGAAATAAGTGGAATAAAAGATGTTATCTTTGGAGATGCTAAGCATGCATTGAAGTTGCGGTCTGGCAGGACGCAATGTTCAATGCTATATGCTAGCCTTTTAAATCTACTGAAGGCAGCACTACCCACAGTGTGGGCCTGGGGTACCAGAGCTGCCTGTGTAAAGCAGGGTTTCTGGGCTTTATTTATTTAGAAATTTGGCCCCAGCATGATAGCCTAATGGCTAACGTCCTCTCCTTGCACACACTGGGATCCCATATGGGCGCTGGTTCGTATCCTGGCGGCCCTGCTTCCCATCCAGTTCCCTGCTTGTGGCCTGGGAAAGCAGTTGACGAAAGGCCCAAAGCCTTGGGACCCTGCATTCCATGGGAGACCTGGAGGAAGTTCCTGGCTCCTGACTTCGGATTGGCACAGCTCGGCTGTTATGGCCATTTAGGGAGTGAATCATCGGACAGAAGATCTTCCTCTCTGTCTTTCCTCCTCTCTGTATATCTGTCTTTACAATAAAAATAAAACAAATCTTAAAAAATATATACTTTTTTTTTTTGGTTGGAAAGTGCTATGGCTGCTGCCTGTGGCACTAGCATCCCATATGGTGTATTCCATATCCTGACTGCTCTGCCTCTGGTCCAGCCCAGAAGATGGCCCAGTGCTCATCCTGCCACCCACATGAGAGACTCAGGTGAAACTCCTGGGTTCAGCCTGGGACAGTCCTGGACATCAGTCATTTGGCAGTAGTTTAGTTTGCTGGGCAATGCCAACTCTAAAACTCTTTAGGTGTTTGTTTAAAAAAAAAATTATTTTTATTGGAAAGGCAGATTTAGAGAGCAAGCTACCACCTGCTGCTTCCTGGGGTGCATGTTAGCAGGAAGTAGGGTCTAAAGCGGACTGCCCTGGGCCACCGGCTCTCATGCCGGATGGGGACTTGCCAAGCAGTGGCCTTGAAAGCTAACTTCCTTCGATCTGGCTCTTGGCTCTTCCCGTGGCCTGGGAAGCCTCCCTCCCTCCGTCACACACTTGCTGACTTCTGCCCTGCCCAGACTCTTAACAGCTTGACCAACCGGCCTGGGGCCACTTCTGAGTCAGCCGGAAGTTGCTATCACCTGAGACCCAAAATCACAGGGCAGTGTAGGACTGGGAAAGGGGAGTGAGAATTTCTGGGTTCAGTGGTGATTTGAGTTGTGAAGAGAATCCAGGCTTGGTCTTGGGACTGCCGGAGTCTGTCCATGGGCAGGAAGCAAGCATGCTTTTCCCAAACATCTGTCATGTCAGGCTCCTTCGGGCCTGCACATACACAACCCCAGCTCACCCCGAGGGAGCTGACTCAATACCCCACTGGGACCTCGCCCCGCAGACTAGTGCCCCAGCAGCAACATAAACCTCCCTCTACCCAAGGGCTTCAACCCGACCAGGTCCCCGAGGGACTCAACAACTCCTACTGCTTAACAGCAAACAACCTCGACCTGGGCAAAGGCAGGGAGTGCCCTGGAAATGCCAGGCCAGGGCACCATCGCTACCCACATCCCCACCTCAGCTCAGGTGAAAAGAACTAAGACCACAGACAGGCAGAAAAATCCAAGTGTTCTTATCCCTGGGGATCTGGGAGGAGGGAGAGGTGCAGGCCTGTGGCGCCCAGCCCCCTTCAGAGCACCAGCCCCCGCTCCTGGAACAGCTGCTTCAGTGCCTCTTCCAGCTGCTGGTTTGTCCCCTGGAGTCCCTTCACCACCTGTGCAGCCCACTCGAAGTATTCCTGCACACGCTGTTCAGACCATCCTGCAGAGAGAGTGGATGGAAACCTGAGTGGCCTTCTGTCCACTTGTAGAAAGGCACAGCATAGGGTTGGGGGCCCCCCAAAACCTACCAAAGATGTGGTCTAGTAAGGATTTAGCTTGTGGGGACTCCATAAGGCTGTGTCAGGGGCTCACCCCACTCCCCTCTTCCCCAGGGCCGGTGTGGGGTGAGGTCGGGAGGGCATGTTACCCTCCGGGGTGCAGCGATTCAGGTCCCTCAGATTGTACAGCTTGTCCGCCAGTTTCACCAGCTTGGCCCCAGGGCTGCTGTGGGGCGCATGTTCCACCTGCAGCCGCTTCCTCTCCAGCTTCGGCAGAGCCTTGTCATCTGTCACCTCCTCCACCAGGCGCCGCACCTGCGCCCCAAAGTGCAACTCCACCTCGTCCAGAGTGGTGTCCGTGTCCTCCACAGTATCGTGGAGCAGGGCAGCCTAGGGACAGGCTCCCATTCAGCCCGGGGATGCTGGTCAAGGGGTGGCTGAGTGGGGCCTCTGATCCCTCCTAACAGAGAAGAGGTGGTTACCTGTAACACTACAATGTCACTGACTCCAGCCTCGTGCGTCAGGATCCGAGCTACACCTGGCGGGCAGGGGTCGTGGGGGAGAGATGGGATCGAAACAGGAAGTGAGACCGGAGGGAGGCGCCAGATGGCGGGGGTGGGTTTTGGAGCGCCAGAGAGACGCTTCGAAGAATCGGGTGACCTTGGGCAAGTCCCTGACCCTGTTTGGGTGGGAGCACCAGGTGTTTGGTACCAGGTGCCAATCGAGGGCACGTTTCCTCATCCCTCCCGCCCTCCATGGTCCCTTCCGGGTGCCACCTCCCCGGCTAGGCGTGCCCACCGATCGGGTGATTGATGTAGGGGGTCCTTTCGGGGTCCTTGCGGCGCTGCTGTCGGTGCTTGCGCGCCGCGAAGTCGGCGGCCTCCAGCAGCTGGGCGGCCTCGGAGCCCATGGCGCGCGTGGGGCAGCCGACTGCGGACGGGTGGGAGCCGGGGGAGGCCGGCCGGGGCGTCCGCAGCGCCCCCTAGCGCCACGGAGGCCCGGAGACTCCCCGGAATTCCAACCCCTTGGCGGGCGAGCCCACTCCCGCCTGTCCCGGCTGACCGCAGGGGCCACGCACAAACACAGGGATGGGGAGCTGCCTGTAGGAAAACGGGGCAGTTTGCTGAAGGCTTCCGGCAGGAAAAGACCACCTGTAATGTGTCAGCTCCTCTTGATATTTTCTATGTTCTAGAAAAATAGTTTTCGCTGTGAGGTCGGGCTAGGAAACCCAACTAACACCTGCCCTCGTGGAAACCGCAGCCTCCCCTGGGAGTCCTGCCTAACTGCTTCAGACTTGGTGCTCCCAAGAGGGCCTGGCTGTTTTCACGGGAACGTCTTTGTTCCTTAGCGCTGGAACCAAGTTTTGCATTGCTGCGATAGCACTGTAGGGCCCCGACTCCAGTCCCCAGGCACCTGCCCGGCCCCTCCCCTGTTGTTCAGGTTGAACTCCCTTTCCTTGCTGTTTGCACAGGTGAGGGTTCCCAGCACCAGGGCGGAGGTGGGAGGTGACCTCTCATGGGCTCTCGGAGGCCCGACCCCTTGCTGACAGGTCTGTGGCTGGGGCTGCTGCTGCTCTCGGGTCGGGGGACCCTGTCCCAGGCTACCTCTCTCTCAGGTAGGACACTTCCCGGGCGCAGGGGTGAGCTGCTGGCGCTGGAGGGAGCCTGCTATGCGGGAAGGGGCCGAGAGGAGGTATGTGCATCCCTCCTCGCCTCTCTCCTCAGCTCTGGCCCGCCACCCCCACTTATGCCAGACCAGCCGGGACGCCCAGGGCCGCCGGCACCCCGGGTTCTTCTGCCCTCGGCTCTCGGACCCTCCGGAGGAAGCCTACTGCTGCCGTCTGCAGGCCGCAGGAGGCTTCTGCTGCGCGCGGGAGGAATTTGAGGCCCTGCACCAGGTCAACCTGTCGGCCTTGCCGCCTCCGCCCATCCTCAGGTGGGCGTCGTGCGGCGGAGGGGAGGGGGCGGCGTGCGCCCACCGGCTGCAGCAGCTCGAGCCTGACACGCTGTCCTGCCCCGCAGGGGCACGGGCCCGCTCCTAGCGCTGGGCCTCTACAGCCTGATGCTGGTGGCTCTGCTGACCGCGGACCTCGTCCACTTCTGCCGCGGTCGGGGACCACGCCGCGGCCGCCGCACACCGGCCCCTCGGTCCTCGGCGGCGCGCCCCCTGCGGGTCAACGCGGGAATGTACTGCTAGCCGCGCCCGGGGCTTCAGTGCGCCTGCGCGCGAGCTCCCATCCCACCGTGGCCCCTCCCTTGCTCTGACGCCACCGTGGGCGCTGGGCTGGGCGGGGCCTCTCGCGGCAGCTTCCGGAGCGTCTAGACCCACCCGGCCGCAGAGACCGCGCGTGCGCGCCCCGGGGACGGGTGCTCCGCAATGACTGTGAGTGGTCCCCCTGCATCCCAAATCCCGACCCCGAGTCCCCGCCCGCCATCCCGGGGAGCTCGCCGCGCTGCCATCCCTTTGCAATTCTGACCGTTTCTTGGCCTCCTTCTCTATTCTGTGCCCTCCTTGGCGCTCGCCGTGCCATCCCCTCCTCTTACCCTTTGGGGTCTTGGCTCTGCCCACGGAGCCCACACCGACTCGCCCTCTGTTGTCCCTCCATAGGCCAGCTCGGTGGAGCAGCTGCGAAAGGAGGGCAATGAGCTGTTCAAATGCGGAGACTACGAGGGCGCCCTGACCGCCTACACCCAGGCGTTGGGTCTGGGGGCGACGCCCCAGGACCAGGCTATCCTGCACCGGAACCGGGCCGCCTGCCACCTCAAGTTGGTGAGGGAACCAGGCGCCCCTGCCCTGCCCTGGCCTGTACGGGGCGGGGTTGGGTATTCCTTTCCCCAGGCCTTCTGCACTCAGAATGGTGGGGGGCTCCAATGGGATCTCCCCTCTGAGGTTCTGTCCTTATTTTTGACAGGAAGATTATGACAGAGCGGAAGCAGAGGCATCTAAAGGTAGGAGAAGGAGGCCCTGGGGCTTGCGTGGTGGGCGAGGGTCCTGGGAGCCCCGGCTCACCCTCTTGGCTGCTCTGCCTTCTGTCTTTCCCACATGCTCAGCCGTTTCCTTTTCCACAGCTACCTTCACCTTTTCTGAGGCTGAAGTTCCAGGCCCCACATCTGTCCCCCCACTCGCCCTCTTCTGGCCCTCCAGAACTTTCCCCACCGCTCTTGCCTGGACATGGTGGCCTCCTGGGTGCTGACCAGCTCCTGTTTGTGCCCAGCCATCGAGAAGGACGGTGGGGACATCAAGGCACTGTACCGGCGGAGCCAGGCCCTGGAGAAGCTGGGCCGTCTGGACCAGGCCATGCTGGACCTGCAGAGATGCGTGAGCCTGGAGCCTAAGAATAGAGCCTTCCAGGAGGCCCTGCGGAACATTGCTGGGCAGATTCAAGAGAAGGTACTAGAGGGATGTGGGAGGTGCAGGGTGGGGGCTGTGTTCTCTGGAGAGGGGCGGCCAACCACGGTGGGCACTCAGGAGGCCAGCTGTACCAGCAATCAGGGATGGGCCAGTGACAGGCACGACATGTTGCTGTTGACTGCAAGTCTTCCTAGAGGCATCCAAGTTTGCCAAGGAGATGGAGGCTTTGGTGGTGAGGTGGGGGTCGGGCTCACATGTTTGCTGCAGAGAATCTACTAAGTTGATAAAGTTCTGAAATTGTTACATTGGAATGGCCATTTGGATGTTTATGACATTATTCATGGGCCATCCAAAGTCTTCAACTTAGAATTAAGCCTGCTGTAGATATATTGAATTTCGAGTCCAACTTGTAGTTACTATAGCAGGGCCAGAATGAATGATTTTGTGGGCCTAATGCTGCCCACAGACTGGACGTTGCCCACCCCTGCCAGAGAGAAACAAGTATGTGTTTTATTTCATCCTTGTTTAGAGTAAGGAACACTGGGAACTTGCCTAAATGCCTAGCAGGAGGGGAACGGCTAAATATCTGGGTGATGTCGTCACTACAGATTTCTTTGCTGTGGTGACCAAAAATAGGCCGCTCCAGGCAAAGGCTTAAATGAAGAAAAGCAGAATATTCAGTAACACAAAGTATGTTTAAATGATCTCCTACACCCTTTATGCTTGGGTGTGTAAGTGAAAAGAACAATACGCAGAGATGTGGATCAGAATGGCATTGAGTGGGCTTCCCAGAAGAAATTTCACTGCATCTATGAAATGGTTTGAAAATGGGACAGGTAGAGAGATGGACAGCATTCTCTTCTGCTGGTTCACTCCCTGAATGCCCACGGCAGGTGCTAGCCCAGGCGGGGGCCGGGAGCTGAGAGCCTGGTGTAGGTCTCTCTCGTGGGTAGCAATGACCCAGTTACTTAAGTCATGGTTGCTGCCTCCTAGAGCGCACTTAACAGGAAGCCGGAACTGGGAGTGGAGTCAATGGCTACCCTCATTTGTGAGGGACGCGTTTTTCAAAACCGGTTTAGGAGAAACTGGGGGTCACTGTGAGCTGTCATTGGGCTTGCACTGAGCAGATCCTTTGATGTTAGAATCCTGGCGTGGCTGGGCATGTGTCCTGGCAGTTAAGATGCTTCTTGCGTTGCCTGCATGCCTTACCAGAGTTCCCCATCACACATCCCGGCTCTGCTCCTGGTCCAGGCTTATGGCAGATGCATGTCCTGGAGGCAGCGAGTGGCTGGGTGCCCACATCTACACTGAAGACCTGTATTAAATTCTTGGCTTCTGCCCTCAGCCTGGCCCATCCTGGATTATCGTCGGCATTTGGGAAGTGAACAAGTGGGTGTGGAGGGCAGGGCTCCCTGTCTACCTCTCAAAAGAAAGCAGGAAGAGTAATCTCAAAGTGTGCTGACACAGTGAGAACATGCTCTATTGAGAGCTGGGGAAGTAGACAGATTTTTTCTCCATGCCAGCTCTGTTGGATAGCCAGCAGGGACCAAGAGTAACCTGGTTGAGAAGGAACAGGAAGGGGATTACCTGGGTTTTGACTAAAGTGTGTAGGACCTATTAGTCATGTCTGCCATGGATACCAGAAGGGAAGAGGAAAGTGGTAGGCACGCTGGGCCTGTGCCACCACCTGCGCCCAGAATCATGGCAGGGGTGGGGCAGTAGGCCTAGGAGGATCTCTCATTTAGATGATTTTAAAAACCACCAGATCATTGCAGGGCTATAGGGAGCCTTAACACATCCATTTGGCTCACCAAGCCCCTGGCACCAGGTGTCCATGCCAGGGCTTATGCTGCCACGGCAGAGGTGAGAGAGTCGCCTCTTGGCTGGCTATGCTGCCTGAGCAGGAAGTAACCCAGGAGGGAAGGCAGCCATGAGAAGCATGGGAGGAGCTGCTGGGCAGGTCTCTTCTTGCCTCAGGTGCTCGTTTGGAGCCCAGGCGCCCTCCCTGGGCCTTCCAGGGATAGCAGGAGATACAAAGAGGGATCCACTTATCTCATGTGCTTGGGCGGTTCCCTTACAGGTGCGCTACATGTCCTCAACGGATGCCAAAGTGGAGCAGATGTTTCAGATCCTGTTGGACCCCAAGGAGAAGGGCACTGAAAAAAAGCAAAAGGTACAGATAGCCCTGGACTCACCCTGGGGTTGCCCAGCATAGGGCGCTCCCTGTCCAATGCTGATCTGATGGGCTGCACCTTGCCCTTCAGGTGATGCACCTGGACCCTTGGGGCCCGGCCAGGAGCTCTGAGGGCTGCTGGTGTGAGCCAAAGAGAGGGCACAGCGCTGATGGAGCACCTGGCTGACCAGGCTTTGTGCCGGAGCCAGGTGTGCAGGGGTGGTTGAGACGTTGTCTCTGCCCGAGAGGTTCTGGTGAGGAAGCAGGACCTCATTTACTTACCCATGAACCCTGCGGGGCAGGCTTCTTCCGCTCCCATTAGCAGGAGGATGCTGAAGTTCAGAGAGGTTAGATTCGTGGCCCAGGTTACCAAGCTGTAGGTGGATGGAGGAAGTGAAGCCCGGCCTTTGCCTCATCCCATGCTGTGCAGTGCTGCATTGTGACCCACTTCCTATGACACAGGCCTCTCAGAACCTGGTGGTGCTGGCCCGGGAGGATGCTGGCGCAGAGAAGATCTTCCGGAGCAACGGGGTCCAACTCCTGCAGCGCCTGCTGGACACAGGGGAGGCAGACCTCATGCTGGCTGCTCTGCGCACCCTGGTTGGCATCTGCTCTGAGCACCAGTCACGGGTAGGTGGGTAGAGGGTCTCATTACAACTTCTGCCTGTTTATCCAGCCATCATCCTTTTGAGAAAACCAGTAAGTTAAAGAATATAAAGAAACAGGAAACTGAGAATTAGAAGAAATTCAGATGGCACAAACTCAGCCTTGGCCCTTGGCAACGCCTGGCACGCTCACTCAGGGTGTGCATACACAGGCAGGCCCAGGCTTTCTTGCAGCCATCTGCACATAGGGACCTAGTCTCTGGTTCCTCCAGTTGGGTGCCCAGCAGCTCTGAAGAGCTAACTGGCATTTCTTCCTTACAGTAGTGCTATGGTCAGTGATATCCCCATAACATGTGACCATCAAGACAGTGACTGATCCGGAGAACCTGGCCCTGAGTTGCCGCTCAGCATGGCTGACCCATAGTTCCTGGGTCAGGGTGCTGCCATCTGTGCCCTTGCTCTGGCTTGAATTGCCTTAGTCCCAGGGATAACGACCTGACCGTCCCCAGCTGCCAGATCAGAGTAGAACTGGGGCATGTTCTGTAGAAGTTTATTGGCTCAAACTTGGGGGCGGTGAGTGGGAAAACCATGTGAATTCTGTCACCTGAACAGGCACCCAGTAAGTTCTCTGGGGTTCTCCAGGTCAGAAATGCAGGTCAGTAGTGCCAGAGTGTGGCAGAGCTCAGGGCTGGGTTGAGGGAGGACTCAGGTGTACTGAGCCTGCTGGCCAGGTGTCTGTGCCAGGCCGACAGGCCGACATGTCCCCTCACTGCTTTCAGGGCTGTGGTATTCCTGGTGCTTTCTCAGGACCAAGCAGAGCAGAGGCTATGGGGGACTCCCACAGAACACTTCCTTTAGGAAGTCTTCCCAACAGGGTTGTCTGGGCAGCATCCTGGGTCACACCCTAAGACCCTGGAGCTGGTCTTTGGATGTCTTATCCCCATCTGGATACTGGCTGTCTCTCACTCATGGTTAGGAATCTCTGTGATTGCCCTTCCTTAAACAGAGTCTTCTATCCGCCTCTCTCCCATCCCAGACAGTGGCAACCCTGAGCGTGCTGGGGACTCGGCGAGTAGTCTCCATCCTGGGTGTGGACAACCAGGCTGTGTCCCTGGCTGCCTGCCACCTACTGCAGGTGATGTTTGATGCCCTCAAGGAAGGTGTCAAGAAGGGTTTCCGAGGCAAAGAGGGCGCCATCATTGTGGGTGAGTGAGAGCTGGCCTGGTCCCTAGGGGCCTGGTAGCCATGGATCCCCTGGGGGAATCCGGGGCCGTGACCATGTCTTCCTCTGGACTGTAAGCAGCCTGGGTGCACGAGGGGAAGGCCGAGGCTCAGCCTGTCGCCAAACCTGCATGTATGCCCCTTGTGTTGTCCTGGTGTTGTGGGGTGGTACACAGGTCCAAGCGGGCCAGGCTACAGTGGAACAGCAGTGTCATCTTGTTGCCAGATCCTGCCCGTGAGCTGAAGGTCCTCATCGGGAATCTGCTGGAGCTGCTGACGGAGGTGGGGGTCTCGGGCCAAGGCCGGGATAATGCCCTGACCCTCCTGATTAAAGTGGTACCCCGCAAGTCTCCTAAGGAGCCCAACAACAGCCTTACCCTCTGGGTCATTGACCAAGGTGGGTGAGAGTTTACAGATACTCAGCTTGGGGCCTGACCTGAAGGGCTGACCATGAACCCAGCTGTGTGCCTGCAGTGGAGTCCATGCCAGGGCAGGGATGGGGGCGTTTCCCACACTTCTGTGATCAGGGAACCAATTGGGTCCAGCACATCATTTCACGGCTCTTTCCCATAGAGACCAACAGAACCAGTGTGCTTTGACAGGCCTGCGTGGACACACTGGGATCTTGCCTGGGACCCCTCAGCCTCTGCTGTTATCACCATGACCCTATCATATGGGAGCAAGGTTCTTTCTTAAGATTTGTTGGGGCACAGCATTGTGGCATTGCAGGTTACTCGTGACTTCAGCATCACATCTGGGTGTTGGTGTCACATCCCGTGTCACATCCAGTGTCACATCCTGGATGCTCCATGTGAGATCTAGCTCCCTGCCAAAGTTCCTGGGGAAGCAGCAGATTATATGGTCCTTGGGCCCCTGCACTAACAAGGGTGACCCAGATGGAGTTCCAGGCTCCTGGCTTTGGCCTGGCCCATCCCTGGCCTTTGTGGCCTTTTAGGGAGTGAACCAGAGAATGGAGGCTCGCTCTCTCTGTCTCTTCTCTCTCTGAAACTCTTTCAAATTCATAAATAAATCCTGTAAAAAATGATTTATTTGAAAGAGAGCAAGAAGGAGAGAGATTGATCTTTCATCTTCTGCTTTTCCTTCCAGATGGCTCCAACAGTTGGGGCTGGACCAAAATGCAGCCAGGAACCTAGGGCTCCATCTGAGCACTGTGACTTTGCTGTCTTAGGGGGAAGAGCCTGCTTCCTCCTGCATCTGCTGGGAAGCCCCTTCCCTTTTCCTGGAGATGTGGGCCTGGTGTTCCACAGCCTAACTGGGGTGTCTTTTCAGGTCTGAAGAAGATTCTGGAAGTGGGCGGCTCAGTGCAGGACCCGCCTGGAGAGCTCACGGTGACCGCGAACAGCCGCATGAGCGCCTCCATCCTTCTCAGCAAGCTCTTTGATGACCTCAAGTGTGACGCCGAGAGGGAGAATTTCCACCGGCTCTGCGAGAATTATATCAAGTACAGCTCCCAGGGGCTGCGGTTCGGGTGGAAACACTTTTGACTCTTTGTGGGAAGGGTGGCAGGGTAAAAGTGGTGTTCTTTCTCAGTGGACTTTCCCAGAATACAGCAGGTCATCAGGTACTGGGCACAGCCCCTGAGTGCTGAGTAGGCACCTGCTCTTGCCAGGTGGGAGCCTGACTCAACAAGTTCAGCTGCCTTCACTCCAAGCAGCCAATAACTGATCATTTATTTTTATTTATTTATTTTTGTTAAAAACTTATTTATTTATTATTGGAAAGTCAGATATACAGAGAGGAGAAGAGACAGAGAGGAGGATCCTCTGTCTGCCGATTCACTCCCCAAGTTGCCAAAGGACCGGAGCTGAGCCAATCTGAAGTCAGGATCCTGGAACCTCCCTTGGACCCCCCCATGTGGGTGTGTGGTCCCAAGGCCCTGGGCCATCCCTGATTGCCCTCCCAAGCCACAAGCAGGGAGCTGAATGAGAAGCAGGGCCTCTGGGATCAGAACTAGGTCACATATGGGATCCTGGTGCGTGTAAAGCGAGGACCCCAGCCACTAGGCTGCTGCACCAGGCCCTTTATTTTATTTATTTATTCATTTTTAGGCCCTTTATTTTTTCAGGTGCAAATTGCTTTGTTGTCCTTGCGTAAATTTTTTTGATCAGTTGTGAAGTAACCAGAACACTTCATGTTTTTTTGTTTTTTTGTTTTTACCAAAAATTTTTTTATTTTAAAGATTTATTAACTTTGGACCCAGTGGCATGGCCTAGTGGCTAAAGTCCTCGCCTTGCACACACTGGGATCCCATATGGGCGCCGGTTCTAATCCCAGCAGCCCCACTTCCCATCCAGCTCCCTGCTTGTGGCCTGGGAGAGCAGCCAAGGACGGCCCAAAGCTTTGGGACCCTGCACCTGCGTGGGATACCTGGAAGAAGTTCCTGGATCCTGGCTTCGGATTGGCATAGCACCAGCCATTGCGCTCACTTGGGGAGTGAATCATCAGATGGAAGATATTCCTCTCTGTCTCTCCTCCTCTCTGTATATCTGACTTTGCAATAAATAAATAAATCTTAAAAAAAAAAAAGATTTGTTAACTTTATTGGAAAGTCAAATATACAGAGAGAAGGAGAGAAAAAGGGAAAGATCTTCATCTGGTTCACTCTTCAAATGGCTGCAATAGCTGGAGCTGAGCCAGTCCAAACCGAGGAACTTTTTCCAGGTCTCCGTGTGGGTGCAGGGTCCCAAGGCTTTGTGCCATCCTCCACTGTCTTCCTATATCACAGGCAGGGAATTGGATGTAAAGCGGAGCAGCTGAGACAAGAACTGCCCATGTGGGATCCCAGCACTTACAAGGGGAGCATTAGCCAATTGAGCCATTGTGCCAGGCTTCAAAGATTTATTTATTTGAAGCACAAAAAGAGATATCTTTCATCCACTGGTTTCCCTTTAATAATCAGCGCTGGGCCAGGCTGAAGCCAGGAGCTTGCTCAGGGTCTCCCACATGAGTATAGGGGCCCAAGCACCTGGGCCATTCCCTAATGGAGCAGTATTGGAAGCAGAGCAGTTGGTACTTGAACCAGCTTCCTCATATGGGATGACCACATCATAGGCAGAGGTTTTCCCTGGCTTAATAAGCATAGGAAGGGACTTGAGCAGCAGTCTGTCATCAAGTAAAGGCTTAAACAAAAGCTTAGACAGAGGTGGGTGACTGTTGACAGGGTTAATTGCTGTAATCTTTTCTCTTGGCAGTTTTGCTTGTGCAGGCATCTGTCCTACATAGGGATGGAAGGGAAGGAAGGAGGGTCCCTTTCCTGGCTTTAGTGTGACAGTTGTCACCCTGTGCCCCTCAGGAGCTGGTTTGAGGGCCAAGGGCTGGCCGGGAAGCTGCGGGCCATCCAGACGGTGTCCTGCCTCCTGCAGGGCCCCTGTGACGCAGGCAACCGGGCCTTGGAGCTGAGCGGTGTCATGGAGAGCATCATCGCCCTGTGCGCCTCCGACCAGGAGGAGGAGCAGCTGGTGGCCGTGGAGGCGCTGATCCACGCGGCGGGCAAGGCCAAGCGTGCCTCCTTCATCACTGCCAATGGCGTCTCACTGCTGAAGGACCTATACAAGCGCAGTGAGAAGGACAGCATCCGCATCCGGGCCCTGGTGGTGAGAGGGGGAGGGTGGGCAGGCTTGGGCAGTCAAGCCAGGGTTGGGCCAAAGGGTGTGCCACAGGCTGCAGCTTCAGCACAAGGTTGGCCTGCAGGGAATGTGTGGTACCCATGGGTGCCGGTGGGCTGGGATCTGTGCAGCCCTCACACCCCAGGAGCTGGTCCTCTTGGCACATCCCCTCAGGGTTGACTGGCTGACATACCTGTCTTATTTCTGCTCATGTCTTTTCTTGCTAAGACTTTTTATGCTTGGCATGGAAAGGAACAGCAATTCTTTGTGTATACTAGGAGAGGTTGGAATACCAATCAACCAGGTAGCCACTATGTTGGTCTGTGCCAGAACCCTTTGGTCAGTCCAGTAGCTGATTGCATTACCACAAGCTCTAGAAGGTCACTAAGTGGGGGAGGGTGCTGATGGTATGTGTGTGTATGTGTGTCCCTACACACACACAGACACCCCCCCACCCTGCGTGGCAGAGTACCAGGAGGGAGCCCAGCTCCTTCCCAGGTCCCGGCCACCAGTCCTGCCTTCTTCTTCCAGGGACTGTGTAAGCTGGGCTCGGCTGGCGGGACTGACTTCAGCATGAAGCAGTTTGCCGAGGGCTCCACGCTCAAGCTGGCCAAGCAGTGTCGGAAGTGAGTGGACCCACATTGCTGTGGCTGCTCTGCACCTCTGTTTTGTCCCTAGAGGGTGGAGTCTGGGCTGGGGGTGGGGCTGCTTGTCCCCCACCAACCTAGCAGACCCTACTGAGTCCTGGCACATTGCCTGTGTTTGTGTGTCAGTGCCAGTGCTGCCAGGGCCCTGGCTTCTCCCTGCTGTCCCAGGGTGCCCCCTACCTTAGTCCTGAAGAACATCCCGTGTCCTGCCTGACCCCAGGTGGCTATGCAATGACCAGATTGACATGGGCACCCGGCGCTGGGCAGTGGAGGGTTTGGCTTACCTCACCTTTGACGCGGATGTGAAGGAGGAGTGTGTGGAGGATGAGGCTGCCCTGAAGGCCCTGTTCCAGCTCAGCAAGGTAACTCCACGTGTCCCCGCTGACATCCTGAGGGCCCTGTGCAGGAGCAGGACTGGTAGGTTTTTGCCAAGAGCTCTCATGACCCAGGCTAGGAGGGGCTAGTGGCCCGGGCAGCTGCTCTGTGTGGTGAGAGCACACTGACTGCCCCAGTGGTGTCAGGAAGTCAGAACCCGAGGGGTCACATTCATGGACTTCCAGAGCCTGCTCTTGGGGTGGGGTGGTCCCCTAGCCTCAACCCGTGTCCATGTGGGTTGCCAAAGGTAGAATGTACTCTGTGCTGCCCCGACTGACTCATAGCTCCTCTGCCCTGCCAGTCCGAAGAAAGGGCGGTGCTGTTTGCTGTAGCCTCGGCCCTGGTCAACTGTACCAACAGCTATGACTATGAGGAACCTGACCCCAAGATGGTGGAGCTGGCCAAGTATGCCAAGCAGCACGTGCCCGAGCAGCACCCGAAGGTGAGTGGACCGTTTCAGTCCTTGGCACCCACAGCCATGCCAAAGCCAATTCCCAGCCTTGTGCTGGCTGTGTCTGACAGTCCAGGCCTCTCTCTGAGTTGCCTCCTTCCCTAGGACAAGCCGAGTTTTGTGCGGACTCGGGTGAAGAAGCTGCTGGCGGCGGGCGTGGTGTCGGCCTTGACGTGCATGGTGAAGACTGAAAGCCCACTGCTGACCAACTCCTGTCGGGAGCTGCTGTCCAGGTGAGGTTGCACATGCCACCTCCTGCCTTCCCAGGAGCCACTGCTCCCACACCCAAGCCTCAGGCTGCCCACCTACCTCCCAGGGCACTGGGCCTGTGTGCTTGGAGCCAGGGTCCCTGCTGGGCTGCCTGCCCAAGCCCCAGGCCCTGCCCACCACCCCGTCCTCCCCTTGCAGGGTCTTCCTGGCCCTAGTGGAAGACGTGGAGGACCGTGGCACTATCGTTGCCCAGGGTGGGGGCAAGGTAAGCCAGTGTGCAGGCTCGCTCTGGGGCCTGGGCCACCAGCCTGTAAACCATGACTCAACAGCTGCTAACCAGAGAGTGAAAACATTCATCATAACCCCCAGAGCGGCTTCCCACCAGGGAGTGAGGCTAAGTGGGCATGTCCCTCTGCATCCCTCATTCCCTCTCTGCTGATGCACCCACCTCTGTCTGCATCTGCCTTTGTAGACAGTGCCCAGTGTGGGCTGTAGTCTCTTCATGAGGGACCCCAGCCGAGGATGAGCTGAGCAGGGAGGGAAGCTGTGGAGGGAGGGTGTGTGCTGGGTGGATGGCCGCCCACTGACTTAATCCCACAGGCACTGATCCCGCTGGCCCTGGAAGGCACCGACGTGGGGCAGACAAAGGCAGCCCAGGCTCTCGCCAAGCTCACCATCACCTCAAACCCGGAGATGACCTTTCCTGGCGAGCGGGTCTGTGTCGTCCTACCCTGGCCCTGACCATGCCTCTGCCCCCTCCCTGGACCCTCATGGGCTCCTGGATGGGACTGACAGGAAGTGGCAGCATTGCTGAGCTGGGGAGTGGGGAGGGAAGTTCACGAACTGCAACATGTTGCAGTGGTATCCCCAGGATGCGATGGATAGGGGGGTGGGGATGCTGCCAGTAGCCCTGATGCAGGGTTGCAACTTAACAGATTTATGAAGTGGTCCGGCCCCTGGTCTCCCTGCTGCACCTCAACTGCTCAGGTCTGCAGAACTTCGAGGCGCTCATGGCCCTGACCAACCTGGCGGGGATCAGCGAGAGGCTCCGGTGAGGCCCTGTTTCATGGCATAGGCTGGGCAGCAGGGTTTGCATTAAACCCCATGCAGCAGTTTATAGTTTGGAAAATAGTTCATAGCTGCTGGAGCCTCACAGTGACTCTTTATTGATTTTTATTTACAAGTTAGAGTTATGGAGAGAGAAGGAGGGACACCAAGTGGCCACACTGCCAGCCTGAGCCCTTCTGAAGCCAGGGGCTTCTTCCAGAGTTTCTATCTAGGTACAAGGGCCCAAGTAGCATCTATTATTCCAGACACAGTAGCAGGGGGCTGGATGAGAAGTGGAGCAGCTCCTTTTCTGCATCTGACAGAGGGACACAGGCTCAGGGAGGCAACAGGGCATTGGGTGATAGCCCAATTGTGGGTTCTGGATTCAGACTGTGGGTTCAAATCTCAGCTTCCCTTGTTTCTAACCTGTAACCCTGAGCCAGTTCCGTAACTGTTCGGCCTCAGTGGATCCCCTGGCTGTGGATACTGTGATTATAGCACAGTCGTTAGGAGAGCTAAGTGAACAAGCACATATCAGCATATTTAGTACTGAGGTACTGGCCCCCAACCAGGGGCCAAGACAACATAAATGTGTTTGCTCCCTTTTAGAGCAAAGGAATTCGAAATTTACGCATGAGAGATCTTCAAAATGTTTATGAAAGAATTTTTAATTCCCAAAGTGCCCCTTTTGTAGAAGAAGGATTTGTTTATTTGAAAGTCCATTACACAGAGGGCTATCTTCCATTCAAATTTGGATGATTCCCCTACATGACCCTGACAGGCTGAGGCTGGGCCTGGTTGAAGCAAGGAGTCAGGAACTCCATCCTGGTCTCCCACCTGGGTGACAGTGGTCCACACACTTGGGTCATCTTCTGCTGCCTTCCCAGCTATTAGCAGGGAGCTGAATGGCAAATGAAAGAGTCAGGATTTGAACTGGTGCTCCTGTAGGGTGCTGGCAGCTTACGCAGTGCCTTAACTTGCGCCACAAAGCCATTTCTGAAAGCTAGTTATTATGGAAATAACTATGCATGCATGGGTTGCTAACATGTTTTGTAACCTGAAACCAGGAGCCTGGAGCTTCTTCTGAGTCTCCCACACGGGTGCAGGGTCCCAAGGCTTTGGGCATTCCTCTACTGCCTTCCCAGGCCACAAGCAGGGAGCTAGATGGGAAGCAGGGCTGCTGGGATTAGAACCGGTGCCCATATGGGATCCTGTTCCATGGAAAGCGAGGACTTTAGCCTAGGCCATTGTGCTGGGCTCATAGCCATGAACTTTTTGAAGTGCCTTTGTGGTTATGGTACTCACACCTGCACTTCACCCTAAGGTCATGGTGGAGATCAAGTAAAATAATCCAGGTGCTGGTCAGGTGCAGGCAGATGATAGCCATTTGCATCGCTATCGCCAGCACCCTGATTTCCTACCTCCCAGTTCTAAGCATTCTCCTGTGCCTGGTTGGAAGACTAACAACCACTGCATTCACACCCGGTGCAGAGGGTCCTGGGACATCATCTGGGGTCTTCACTGGCCTAGGGTTCTCGTGCATGGGAATGTGGTGATGGGGGCTGCAGTGCCTGTGGAAGCTGCAATGATGCCAACTCTTTACGTATGGCCCCACAGGCAGAAGATCCTGAAGGAGAAGGCTGTGCCCATGATTGAGGGCTATATGTTCGAGGAGCATGAGATGATCCGCCGGGCTGCCACGGAGTGCATGTGCAACCTGGCCATGAGCAAGGAGGTGCGCCCAGAAAGGGGGGCAGAGGTGCACCTGGCCCTGTGGGCCTTGCATCTGCTAACACATTCTGCTCTCCTGCTCTGGCCACAGGTGCAGGACCTCTTTGAAGCTCCCGGCAATGATCGCCTGAAGCTGCTGGTGCTGTACAGTGGAGAGGAGGACGAATTGCTGCGGCGGGCAGCTGCAGGCGGCCTGGCCATGCTTACCTCCATGCGGCCCTCGCTCTGCAGTCGCATCCCACAAGTGGTCAGTGCCTCTTTCGGGGAGCAGGGTGGGGTGGTGCACCAGGAATCCCCATACGCTGGTGTCTCAGGAGGCAGGCCCTAGGCTGCGGGGGGTATGATTCCTGCTGAGGTTGAGCCATGGGGTCACACATGCCTTGTTTGCCTGCAGACCACACATTGGCTGGAGATCCTGCAGGCCCTGCTGCTGAGTTCCAACCAAGAGCTGCAGCACCGGGGGGCCGTGGTGGTGCTCAATATGGTGGATGCATCGCAGGAGGTCGCCAGCATGCTGATCGAGAGCGAGGTGCTGGAGATCCTGTTGGTGCTGGCCAAGGGTGACGCAGGCCCTGTGACCAGAGCTGCCGTGGCCTGCCTGGGGAAAGCGGTGGAGTACGGGCTTATCCAACCCACTCAGGCTGGAGAGTGAGGCCTGCCCACTACACGAGTCTCTTGCACACCATACCTATTGCAGCGTGGAGAGCAAGGACTGAGGTGGTGCCAGACGTTCGAGTACCTCCTCCCACCACCTTTTGATGTTCTTTGTCCTGAACCACAGCACTGCCTCTGCCTCACACTGAGGGGCCCCTCTTGTTCCTGACTGTGGGTAACTGAGCATGGGGAAGGGGAGCCCCAGCTTGGTCGTCTCGGCCTGCTGGAGCTTCACGAAGGGCACCGCAGTGCCGTCACCAGCTGTGAGCATCACCTGGGCCGCCCAGCAAGCCTCTAATAAACGTGTGGCACTGAGAAGTGTGTCTTGTATATGTGTGGGCAGGAGTCTGGGCAGCAGCTGATCTGTAGGAGAATGTGTCGGACCAGGCGTTGACCCATTGCGTCCAGACAGAAACGCTGGTCTACCACACTTTAGCAGCAGAGCCAACGTGGAGGACAAGGCCTGGGCGGGCCACCCGGGAGCCTGTGTCGCATCTGAGGTGTCGCCCGAGTGGCCGCGGCCTGTCGGCTGAGGGCAGCGCGGCGCCCCGGGCTCTCCTCCAGAAAGCCCCGCCCGAGGCTGAGGCTCCAGGGTGGGCGGCTCCTGGTCGAGGGGAGAGGCCGCCCGTCGGCCCGCCGAGCGGGAGCCCCGGGACGCAGCCGCCGGCGCCTCAGGACGGAGGCCTCACCCAACAGCGCGGAAGGCGGAGAGCCATCGGCGTCCCGTCAGGGCCCGTGGCGTGACACCCGCCGGGGGCTCGGGTCCGCGTCATGGCCGAGCAGCGGCCGGGAGCCTGGTTCGGCTTCGGTTTCTGCGGCTTCGGACAGGCGCTGGGCCGCGGGCGCGGGCCGCAAGTGTCCAGCCCGGAGCCGCTGCCCGGGGGCACCGCCGTCCGCTGCGTGAGCGCCGCCTGGAGCTACACGGCCGTCGTGACCCGTGAGCGCCCGCCTCGCCCCTGCTCCCCACGTCCCGGGGACGCCCCGACCCTGACCCCCGTGCCTTCCGGCCCGCAGGTGCAGGCCGCGTGGAGCTGTCGGGCTCGGCGAGCGGCGCGGCCGACGGCTGCAGGGCCGTGTGGGCCTCCGAGGGGCTCCTCGTGGTGATGGGCGGCGGGCCGGGCCCCGAAGAAGCCGAGCTGCTGCGGGCCTGGGCGCCCGAGTCGGCGCTGCGCGGGGAGCCCCTCTGGGCCCAGAAGGTGCTGCGGGAGAGCGAGGCCCAGGCCGGGCCGCTGCCCCTGCTGCCCGGTGCCCGCGCCTACGTGAGCCCGCGGCCGCCGCTCTGCCGGGCCCTGGCCGCCGGGCTGCGGGCGCGCAGGCTGGAGCTGGGCGCCGAGCACGCGCTGCTTCTGGACGCCCAGGGCCAAGTGTTCTCCTGGGGCGGGGGCAGGTGAGCGAGGTCGGGTGAGGGTGGTGGGGAGCCCCTTCCTGGGGGTGTTGGCCGACGGACTCTGCAGACACGGGCAACTGGGCCACGGCGGGCTGGAGGCTGAAGCTGAGCCCAGGCCAGTGGAGGCGTTGCAGGGCCTGAGAATGGCCGAGGTGGCGGCTGGGGGAGCAAGCGGTGAGTGAGCCAGGGCTTCTCCAGCGCTCATGCCAACCTGCCCCTCCTCCTCTTCCAGTGAGGGTGGGGAACTGGCCAAATCCTTCCAGAAGGAGCTACATAGGTCCACCCAGTTCAGCCCTTACACCCACCAGCTGTTCCTTATACCTGCCCTTCTGCTCTGCTGCCAGCAGCCAGGGCTCTCTGCACAAAGTACAAGGGACTTAAAGAGTGACTTGGAGAGAGGGTCACCTGAGGCCAGTTATTGTTTCTACCCCCCCACACACATACCTTCAAGGCGCTGCCTGCTGTTCCAGGGAGCTTGGGTGCATGGAGGAGTCACAGTTTCTTGGTCCCCTTGCTGTCTTTCAGAGGTTGGGAATGTTTATGTCTGGGGATGGATTGAGTCAGGACAGCTGGCTCTGTCTACCAGGAGCCTGGCAGGAGACACAGGGCAAGGTGAGGCTGCCTCAGCTTCCACAGATATGGCTTTCATTCCTGGACGGGGTTGCTGCCGGCCTGGAAGCTGCATTGCACAGAAGGAGCCGGGAGGGGTGGGCCTTAGGACACAGCAAGCTCAGCTGCCATCTGTGGCACCAACATTCGTTATGGGTGCTGGCTCAAGTCCCAGCTGCTCCACTTCTGACCCAGCTGTTTGCTAATGCACCTGGGAAAACAGCAGAACATGGGTCAAGTGTTTGGGCTCCTGCACCCACGTGGAGACCCAGATAGAGTAATGGCTTCTGGCTTCCACCTGGTCCAGCCTTGGCTGTTGGGCCCCTTTGGAGAATGAACCAGCAGGTGAAATCTCTGTGTCTCTCCTGTCTCCCTATACCTCTCTTTCAAATACAAAATAAATGTTTAAAAACAAAAAAGATGGTGAGATCCTGGCCATCCCAGAATATACCACCGTATCCTTAGGCATTCTGGGAATGGTGGGAAGAAGCAGGTGTGCATGGCTCCTGGCTCCTGCAGCTCTGTGCAAGGCAGTGCCAGCTGTGCCCCTGGACTGCAGTAGCAGTGAGCTGATGTGTGAATGAGGGCAGAGCTAACTGAATGATTGCAATCATTGCAAAGGCGCAGGGCTGCAGGAAGATGGCTTGGAAGAGGAGAGAGCAGCGGGGGACGAGGATGCAGCCCCTGCTGCCTTCATAGCTGTGCAGCCCTTCCCAGCCTTGTTGTATCTCCCCCTGGGTGCAGAGGTGGCCAAGGCCAGCTCTGGGTCCCGACACACAGCCGTGGTGACACGTGAGTGGGGCTAGGCATGCTGGCTTGGGATGGAGTGGAATGGCCCCCTGTGCACTGGGCCTGGTAGGGGCATCATTGGCTGTGCAGCTGCCTGTGTACCTGTGCTGGGTCAGTGTAGTGAAGCCCCTGCTGATTGAGCAGCAAGTTCTTTCTTCTTTTACTTTTTTTTCTTAAAGATTATTTTTGGGGCCTGGCGGTGTGGCCTAGCGGCTAAAGTCCTCGCCTTGAACGTGCTGGAATCCCATACAGGTGCTGATTCCAGTCCTGACAGCTTCACTTCCCATCCAGCTCCCTGCTTGTGCCCTGGGAAAGCAGTCAAGGACGGCCCAATGCTTTGGGATCCTGCACCAACATGGGAGACCTGGAGGAAGTTCCTGGCTCCTGACTTTGGATTGGCACAGCACCAGCCATTGCAGTTACTTGGGGAGTGAATCGTCAGACTGAGGATCTTCCTGTCTCCTCCTCTCTGTATATCTGCCTTTGCAATACAAATAAATAGATCCCAGTGTGTGCAAGGCGAGGACTTGAGCCGCTAGGCCACTGCGCCAGGCCCATGGTGGGGGCTTGGCCTGGCGGGCACCTGCTGGGGCACAGCCTCGCTGCTTATGGTGGCAGTGGTCTTCATTTCCTTAGCTGCTGCCACTGTGATTTCAATTTCCCCTTTTTAGTTGATGGATATCCATTTCTAGAGTTGACATTCTGTCTTCTAATTGTCTCACTGATTCCTTCAAACTTTTTTTCTTTTGAAGTTGGTCCTTTAGAGTATGTAACTGTTTTTGGCTTTCAGAAAATCTAATCCTTTCACCAACTTCTGTAAAATGTTTCTTCATGAGTTCCTTGATTTACACACTTCCAGTATAAACTTTGTCTCAAGTTTCATAGTCTCAGAAATGGAATTGAGATGGTTTGTGATTCTCCTCCTGGAGGGATCCAATTGTTGCATCTTTTCCCACCATCTTTTTAGCCTTTCCATTTCTTCGTGGAGGAATTTAAGAGTCTCACCCAAGGTAACAGGTTTCCTCACTTCTGGAGAGTCTTCAAATGATCTTGTATTGGAGGACTGTAATAAAACTGAGCTGTCATACGAGATCTTGTTTTGTAGAAGAATACTGGCTAAGAGTTTCCAGGATTTGGACAAATCCTTCCCCAAACTTTTTGGTTCTGTTCTTGTCTTTGTCATTTTGGGCTACGTTGCTGCCATCCAAGTCTTAGGCTAACATTGGCTGTTATGTATGAACTACACCAACTCTGAGTTTTCTGATGAGTTTACCCAGAGTCTTATTTTCAATGTTTTTCTAAGATGGTTTTTCAGAGAACATAGCTAGTTACTTTTAGCTTCAGAAAAATCCCTTTCCCTTTCACCAACTTCTGTAGAACATCTAATTCTTGAGTTCCTTGATTTCTGAAGATATTTTATGGCATTCTGCCTCAAGTTTTGCAGTCTCAGTTATGGAATGAGATAGCCTTTGCATTTCTTTCTTTTTTTTTTTAAAGATTTATTTTCTTTATTGGAAAGTCAGTTATACAGAGAGGAGGAGAGACAGAGAGGAAAATCTTCCATCCGATGATTCACTGCCCAAGTGAGTGCAACGGCCGATGCTATGCTGATCCGAAGCCAGGATCCAGGAACTTCTTCCGGGTATCCCACACAGGTGCAGGGTCCCAAAGCTTTGTGCCGTCCTGGACTGCTTTCCCAGGCCACAAGCAGAGAGCTGGATGGGAAGTGGAGCTGCTGGGATTAGAACCGGCGCCCATATGGGATCCTGGCACGTTCAAGGCAAGGACTTTAGCCACTAGGCCATGGCGCCAGGTCCTGCATTTCTTTCTAGAGTTTAATTGTGGCATCTTTTGCTGCTAATAATGTAGGCAGTTTCTCATTCTCTAAGAGACATTTAGGAAGTTCACTTAAGGCAAGAGATTGCCTTACCCTGGAGAGGTGATGTTATTGGAGGACTTTAATCTGTTTTAGGAGATCTTAGTACAACTTTAACCTGTTTTAGATCTTCTTTGGTAAGCAGAAAGTTGTCCCAGGGTTTCCAGGATTTGGATGAATTCCTTTCCATTCTTTCTGGTGCTGGTTATACCCTCTTTGTCAATATGGGCCCAGTCAGTGCTGGGTCCAGGATTGATCAGAATCAATCTTGACATAATCCTTTTTGTCCTGTAAAGTATGTTGCTGGTTCAGTTTGCTGGTTATGCTTGAGCTTCGATGTCCGATTCTGTCCTTCCAAGTCTCTGTGGAGACTTGTCTGTCAGCTTCTCATCTCGCACTCTTTGACGCCCTTCCTCAGCACACCTTTGGTTATGTGTGAAGAATGGACACCAAGAAAAGCCATGATGTATTTTACCTGCCCCAGGGAAAGGTCTGAGCTGGAGCTATGGCTACGGGTCTCTCAACTGGTTTGGATCACTCAGAACAAGCATCCAGCGTAGTTGGGCAGTCCCTGCAAAGTGTTGCCAAGTTAGCATACTCGGGGGTGGGGCGTTACGTGACAACTCACAATGGGCCCTTTGTTAGCAACAGGGTGTTGCCTGGAGATACCAGGTCAAGTTCTGGAACCCTTACCCTACCCCTCCATAGCCCACTGATGTCTAGATTTTCTGCCTCTCCGCCAATACTAGGCGCAGCTCCCAACAAATCCCAAAAAGCCGCCAAATAAACTTTCTTTGCCCCCGTGTGTGTGAGCATCAGTATTATAAGTACAGGGCTGGCATTCTGGCACGCTATTCACAGCCTTCTGCTTAAGGTATACCCAGTGTCAGAGCTGAGTCCCAGCTCCCCTCCAGAGTCCAACTTCCTGCCCATGCACACTCCGGGAAGGAACTGGCGATGGTTCAGGTGTCCGGGCTCCTGCCCTGCCCTGGGAGTGTAAAAGAGCCTGGCTCCTGGCTTCTGCCTGGCCCTGTCCAAGCTGTTGCAGGCTGTGGGGGCCTGAAACCTTAACAGATGTGAGCCTGTGCTTGCTCTCTCTCTCTCTCTGCTCCATCCTTCAAATAAGTAAGAAAAAATTTAATTTATTTTATTTTTGATGTTCACATAGTTAAGAAGGATGTATACTGGGCCTGGTGCAGTGGTTCAGTAGGTAAAATTCTTGCTTTAAACATGCTGGAATCCCATATGGGTGCCAGTTTGTGTCCTAGCTGTTGTTCTTCCCATCCAGCTCCCTGCTTGTGGCCTGGGAAAGCAGTCGAGGACAGCCCAAGGCCTTGCACCCATGTAGGAGACCCAGAAAAAGTTCCTGGCCTGGCTTAGGATTGGCTCAACTCTGACCATTAAGGTCACCTGGGGAGTGAATCATCGGATGGATGATATTTCTGTCTCTCTTTCTCTCTGTAAATCTACTTTTCCAATAAAAGTAAATAAATCTTTAAAAAGAAGGATGTATGCCCATGTGGATGACTTGATTAAGGGGAGGGTCAAGTTACTAGGGAAGGTAGTGAGATTGTTACTTCCAGTTTTTTTTTTTTTCCCTCTATCTGGTGTAAGCAGAGAGATAAGGGGAGAGGGCTGCTCCCATCCTCCAAACCATATCAGTACCCAAGGATGATGTCATCCTCAGATTTCCAATGTGGAGCATGTTCTAAGGGTCCTGCTTAAGTGGTATTGACAGTTCTGAGATGTTTGTTTTGTTGCTCCAAGGTTGAGGAAATCTCCAAGGTCCATTGACTGACACAGTTCACCTTAAGAGTATCCACTCACCCAGCCCTGGGTCTTGCTTGTGCCAACAGGTGCTGTAGCCCAGTCTGATATGGCCTGGCCCCAGTCTTGGCATTTGCCAGCAGGTGCCACAGCCTGGCTCAGCCCCAGCTCTCACCAGCAGGTACAACAGCCTAGCTCAGGCTGGTGCACTCCCAGCCCTCATGTGAACTGGTGGATATTACAGTCCAACCAAGCCTGTCCTGCATGGTGCCTGGCTCTCTCTTTTGTCAATAGGTGCTGTGGACTGACCCTGCATAGCCATGCACCCAGACCTAGTTCACATTTATGCTTACAGGTGTTGCAGCCCAGATTGGTGTCTAGCCTGCTCCCAGTTCCCCAAGTTCCCCTGCTAAGCCTACCCCCAGCAATGGTTCTTGCACGTTTTGGTGGGTGTTGCTACCCAAACTGACCTGGCTGGTCCCCAGTCCTGGCAATCACCAGTGGGTGCTGTGACCATTTCCACTTATGTTTTTTTTTAAAGGAGGGCCCAGTGTGATGGCCCAGTGGCTCCATCCTCACAAGTGTCAGGTTCCCATACAGGTTCATGTCCTCGCTGCTCTGCTTCTTGCCGGAGTCCAGCTCCAGCTGAGATCAGAACAAAAGAAGGGTGCGTGGAATAGGCATAGAGAAAATGGACAGACCACTACAATTTTAGGATCATAATGGACAATGAAAGAAAGCTGTCTCCTTTAATTATACAGAAGCAGTCACAAGCTCTGGCACACACTTTTGACATCACAGACAAGTGGGTGTTTCTAAGGATAATTCTGCCAGTTGTTTCACCTTAAAGCAGGATGTTATCCATCCTGACCTGTGGTCAAGAAGTTTTCAATAGACAGAACATATCAATCAGTAACACATTCCTACTACAATCCTTATTCTAGAACTTAGTCTTGAGTCAGTTAAGGGAGGAAGTGCATCACAGAAGGCGGGACCTAAAGATCAAGGAAAGAAGGACAAAATAGATTCCCATTACACCTGGGGACTTAACACCCTTGATTAGCATATAGTCAATGGAGAAGGAAAACCCTAAACACAAGTTCCTACTACATTTAGGGTCTTCCACCCACCGCACGGACCCCAGCAGCTTAGTTTTTTACACCACTGGAAGAAAAACAGCCAATACCTGGTGAGCATTCTGGGCCTGGTTAATACCAAATTTGTATTGACTATAGCAATATAACAGTATACTTACATTTTTTTCTTCCTCTTTTTCTTTCTTTTTAAAAAAGATTCATTTTTACTGAAATTTTTTTTTTTTTTTACTGAAAGGGCAGATTTACAGAAAGGAGGATAGCGAGATCTTATCTACTGATTCACAATCAGGGCTGAGCCAATCCAAAGCCAGAAGCTTCTCCCACATGGGTGCAGGTCCCAAGGCTTTGGGCCACCCTCCGCTGCTTTCCCAGGGCACAAGCAGGGAGCTTGATGGGAAGCTGCTGGGGTCCGTACTGTGGAAGACAGGAAGGTGGGAAGAGTATTGTTTCATTGCAGCCAGGGCCGCAAGGAATTTCCCGCTGCATGGCAGGACCCGGTAGATGTCCGCATCCACCTGAAGGCATTTCCACCTCCCTTTGCTTGGACACCAGACAATCCCACTGAGATTTCTGTAATCTATTTAGCCATTGTTGGCCTCTGGAGTTGGTCTTCACTATCAATGTGAGTTTGGAGGTTGATGTTGCTAACGTCTTAGCAAAAGGGCCTTTTACAATTCACGCTGTCTCTGTGGCCCCATTGGCCATCCTTATGCATTTCCTCCCTTAAGTGATTCAAGACTAAGTTCTAGAATAAGGATTGTAGTAGGAATGTGTTACTGATTGATATGTTCTGTCTATTGAAAACTTCTTGACCACAGGTCAGGATGGATAACATCCTGCTTTAAGGTGAAACAACTGGCAGAATTATCCTTAGAAACACCCACTTGTCTGTAATGTCAAAAGTGTGTGCCAGAGCTTGTGACTGCTTCTGTATAATTAAAGAGGACAGCTTTCTTTCATTGTCCATTATGATCCTAAAATTGTAGCGGTCTGTCCATTTTCTCTATGCCTATTCCACGCACCCTTTTGAGTCCAGAACTCAGCTGGAGCTGGACTCCAGCATTAAAAAGTTGCCTACTGCTGGGTTTATCATAATTCTTAAATACTTTTTTAAAATTTATGACACAGTGTCATTGGTATTTGGAATTCCCCACTCCTCCCCCCATGTTGGATTCCTCCACATTGTTGCAATATTATAAATAATTCTTGGGAGTGAGTAAGCATACATGGCAAGGCCTTAGTCTGGGAATCGCAGAGCAAATGCAAAAGAATAAAAATGACCAGTGTGCTTTTAAAATAATGTGGAGGGCCCGGTGCAGTGGCACAGTGGTTAAGGTCCTCGCCTTGCTCACACTGGGATCCCATATGGGCGCCAGTTCTAATCCCGGCAGCCCCGCTTCCCATCCAGCTCCCTGCCTTGGCCCAGGAAAGCAGTCGAGGATGGCCCAAAGGTTTGGGACCCTGCACCCGTGTGGGAGACCAGGAAGAGGTTCCTGTCTTCGGATCGGCATAGCATCGGCCATTGCACTCACTTGGGGAGTGAATCATCGGATGGAAGATCTTCCTCTCTGTCTCTCCTCTCTGTATATCTGTCTTTCCAATAAAAATAAAATAAATCTTTAAAAAAAATAATGTGGAGACGGCATTCTACAGGTAACATAGAGAAAAGAAAAAAAAAAAAAAAACCTGCAAACACCCAAATCACACACACGAAAACTCAACCATGCAGTTGGGAGCACTTTGGACAGCCAAGTTTTCATTGTTTTTAAGCGGGAGTCTTTCCAAGAAGTTTCTTTGTATTCCACACCTGACAGAAGGCGGGCCATCGGCTGGGACACTGACATCCCACGTCAGACAACTTGAGTTGACGTGGAAGGGTTTCTGTTCTTCAGGAACCAAGGTCCCGGCTCTGGCAGGGTCAGTTTCTGTGTAGGAAGGTCCAGGTCCCGCCCGCCCAGGTCAGACACCCACAACTGCGTTCCCAGACCCCGCCCCTACTCGGCCGACGTCACGGGGCGGGGCTTCCAGCATCTCCCCGCCCACCCAGCACCTCTCTGACGCCCCGCCTCCGCGTGAGCACATCTCTGCGCGTCGCGGTCGCGTCTCCCTGGCGTCAGCGCGGCGGTGAGTGGCAGGCCCCCGTGGCGGTTCGCAGGGACGGTTGTGGGGTCGCTGACGGCCCGGGCCGCAGGGTGGGTGAGACAGGGTGGACTCGGGGCAACCTCCGAGCAGGCCGCGAGGCTGGGGGGGCTGGCTGCCTCAGGGCACTGGGCGTAGGGGGCGGCGGAGCGTCTGTCGCCTCCACTCGCATCTCCGAGGTGGCAGCCCCGAGGTGGGGCTCCCTGGGTGGAGAGCTAAGCTCACCTTGTGCACGGTGGGGGCCACGCTCGCTTCGCGTGGCCTGATGCTGTGTGCTGTTAGTGTACAGCACGTGGACTTTTTTTTTTTTTTGGAGTTGGGGGGAGGGCGTGAACAACGAGTTCTGCTTGAGAAAATTTAGGAAGATGGTTCCTAAAGAGATGGAGTGGCAAGAGTCCAGTGGCGGAAGGGTCTCAGCTCTGCAGTCCCCTGTTAGGGGGTGAGAGCTGCAAGAGGTGACATAGGTTGACACTGCAGCTGTGTGCACCTCCCAGTGTCAGACCAGCAAGGCTTTGCCAGCCTCACACTCTTTTTTGAACATTTTTTTTTTTAAGATTTGTTTTATCGGAAAGGCAGATACATAGAGAGGAGGAGAGACAGAGGAAGATCTTCTGTCCGATGATTCACTCCCCAAGTGGCCGCAACCGCGGGTGCTGCGCTGATCCAAAGCCAGGAGGCAAGAAATTTTTTTTTCCGGGTGTCCCATACAGATACAAGGTCTCAAGGCCTTGGGCCATCCTCAGCTGCTTTCCCTGGCCACCATCAGGGAGCTGGATGGGAAGTGGAGCTGCCAGGATTAGAACCGGAGCCTATATGGGATCCTGGTGTGTTCAAGGCAAGGACCTTAACCATTATGCTATGGTGCTGAGCCCCAGCCTCACTCTGTTTACCATGCAGATTTAAGAACAGCAGGTGCTGGGTCTGGAGCAATAGCTCAACTGGCTAATCTGCCTGCAAGTGCCAGGATCCCATGTGGGTGCCAGTTTGGGTCCTGGCTGCTCCACTTCCCTTCCAGCTCCCTGCTTGTGGCCTGGGAAAGCAGTCAAGGACGGCCCAAAGCTTTGGAACCCTGACCTGCATGGGAGACCCAGAAGAAGCTCCTGGCTTTAGATCTGCTTGCCTCCTCGACTGCAGGTGTAGGGGCCATTTTGGGAATCAGTGGATGGAAGATCTGTCTCTGCTTCTCTCTGTAAACCTGCCTTTCCAATAAAAATAAATAGGTGCTTCAATGAGCTCATCTGTGTGAAGGACTTACAATATGACTTGACTCCTAATACTTCCCCAAACGTACACTCCCTCTATGTGAGGCTTTTTTATCCTCTTAAGATTTGCTTAGTTATTTGAAAGGCAGAGTTACAGAAAGGGAAAGACAGAACTCTTCCCTCTGCTAGTTTCCTGCTCATTCGGCCACATCAACCAGAGCTGAGCTGGGCTGAAGCCAGGAGCTTCCTCCAGGCCTCTCACGTGGGTGCAGGGTCCAAGACTTTGGGCCATGTTCCACTGTTTTCCCAGGTGCATCAGCAGGAAACTGGATAGGAAGTTGGGCGGCCAAGTACTTGGAAGGCAGTGGTGGTTCCTTGGGGATTGGTTTTCTGCAAGCCCTTCTCTCTCTCTCTCTCTCTTTTTTTTTTTAAAGATTTATTTAATTTTATTACGAAGTCAGATATACATAGAGGAGGAGAGACAGAGAGGAAGATCTTCCGTCCGATGATTCACTCCCCAAATGACTGCAATGGCTGGAACTGAGCCAATCCGAAGCCGGGAACCAGGAACCTCTTCAGGGTCTCCCACGTGGTGCAGGATCCCAAGACTTTGGGCTGTCCTCGACTGCTTTCCCAAGCCACAAGCAGGGAGCTGGATGAGAAACAGGGCTGCTGGCATTAGAACCAATACACATGTGGGATCCCAGCACGTTCAAGACAAGGACTTTAGCCACTAAGCCACTACACCAGGCGCTTGCTGCTTGATCTTGTATAATGTGTCAGTAAAAATAGAGGAATGGTGTATATTTTGGTAAAATCATTTTTTCCACAGCCTGTTTATTCTTTGCCATTTGGGAGTTTTATATTTGTGAATTTCCCTAGTTGCTAAAGTTTATGTGTAGCCCTAAAGTCCAGTCCTTGGTGACAAGTGTAGGGTGGTGGGAAACTGGTGTCACCTGAGTGGGCGACACCCCATCTTCCTGTTTGAGCTCCCATGCCGTGGGCAGGGATCGTCTCTGTGGAGTGTGGTTTTGGCACATTGTAGCTGTCTGTCCATCTGTGAGTGATTGCACTTGATAATGCAGCCCCGCTAATGCGGTGAAGCAGCCAGGTCAGATGCCCCTAAGCACAGGAGGGCTCGGTGTGTCCTCTGGAGAAGATGCACATTCCGTTTGCTCCGGACAAGTCTGAGTTTGGGATTAGTGACCTTCTAGCAGATGTTTGGTCACCTGACTCGCGGCTGTCAGGAGCTTAGCCTTCCTCCTGGGAGGAGCAGTGCCTCACAGCAGGACCACTTGATGAAACAAGTGTGCCCTGACTAAGGAGAGCCCACTGGACTTGGTGACCCTGATCCTGCTGTGTGTTCTCTGCCCTTCAACGCCTCCTGCAATCGGGCTCTGCAAGGCTCCTAGGGGAGGGGCCTGTGGCATACACAAAATGTTAAGAATGCTTAATGTGGCCTGACACATTAAATTTATTGTTTATTTGAGAGAGGGAGAGAGATTTTTCCATCCACTGGTTCCTTTGGCTTTCTTCTGCTGCTTTCCGTGGCTCATTAGCAGGGACCTGGATGGGAAGCAGATGGGACTTGAGTTGGCTGTATGATATGAGGACACCAGCACTGCAGGCGGAGGCTTAACTCATTGAGCTGGAATGCCGGCCCCTTAAATTTTTTTTTTTTTGTAAGATTTATTTTTGTTTTTTAATTGGAAAGTTGGAGTTATAGAGAGAAGGAGAGACAGAAAGAAAGATCTTGCATCCAAGTGGCCTCAACTAAGCTGATCCAAAGTCAGGAGCCAGGAGCTTCTTCTGGGTCTCTACTGTTGGTACAGGGTTCCAGGGCTTTGGGCTGTTCTTCACTGCTTTTCCAGGCCACAAGCTGGGAGCTAGAAGGGAAGTGGAGTGACGAGGATTGGCACCTATTTGGGATCCCAGCACGTGCTAGGCGAGGACTTTAGCCATTAGACTATGGTTGCCAGACCCTCTTAATCTATTCTCCAAGACTTGTTTGAATCCTGAAGTTCAGAATGGAGAGATCCTGCCACTTGGCAGGGCTGGTGAAGGGAGTCCCAGCAGGTGATCCTTAGTGATCAACACAGGGCTGCTTTTCTTTCTTGGCCAACGGGTATCCCCTGTCACTCCTCTGTTACGATCACAGCCCTGACTGAAGGTCTGGTGTTGTTTCCACAGAGCTGTCGGCCTCTAGCCCTGCGTCCTTGTAAAGGAGATGACCAACCAGGTAAGGCCTGCGTTGCAGACAAGTACATCCAATGATGTGGCCACCTGATGGCCGGATGGCAGTCTAGGTTAGTGCAGTCGCAAAGCCAGCACCTCTCTGCTCTGTTCCTGAAGAGCCCGGTGCCTTGGGCTGCTAGTCACTCAGCCAGAACTAGGGAGTGCTGGTGACGGGTTAGGGTTAGTGCTGGTGACAGGGAGTGCTGGTGACGGGGTTAGGGTTAGTGCTGGTGACAGGTTAGGGCGTGCTGGTGACAGGGAGTGCTGGTGACGGAGTTAGGGTTAGTGCTGGTGACGGGTTAGGGCGTGCTGGTGACGGGTTAGGGTTAGTGCTGGTGATTGGTTAGGGCGTGCTGGTGACAGGTTAGGGTTAGTGCTGGTGATGGGTTAGGGTGTACTGGTGATGGGTTAGGGTTAGTGCTGGTGATGGATTAGGGCGTGCTGGTGACGTAAGCCACAGTTTAGAGAAGGACTGAGAAAGCTTAGGAGAACAGCTACAGAAAACCCACTCAGCGATCGGGACAGGAGATAATGCTGGAGCAGTGTTTCTTTAAGATGGGATTAAGGGCAAAGCTAGTGGACTGTGCTAGCTGGCACAGCTACAGAGTTCCACTGCCTCGTGCTGGGCCATAAGCTTCCCAGTGACCAGAGCAGAGAAGGGAAGCACAGTCTGTCAGCACCCTGTGGCCTCAGGGATGATGGGAGCAGAAGGGAGAGTCTCCCTTTGTTTCCCAATTAATTTTTCTCTGGTCTGACTGTTCTCAGTCCAGGAGCCTGAGGGCAGTCGGGGTGATAGCAGAGGAAGTGGCTAACACTGGGGACTGTACCTGCTGGGAAGGGGGTGTTGGGCTGAAATCTGACCAGGACTGACATGGCTTCTGTTCTTTTCCAGTACAGTATTCTCTTCAAACAGGAGCAAGGTGAGTAGCCCGTTGGCTCAAGCAAATTCACCCCCTGAGCAACTGTGCCTTCGTCCCTGCTTTCTGCAAGGTTTTATCCTGTTGACCACACGGGGCAGTTCCCAGGTGCTTCCCAGGTGGCAGAGGCAGCCACAAACAATGAGACTCATACACATGTAAGCACACACACACGACCAGAACTAAGTGGGAAAGGCAGGCGTCAGTGGGTGAACTGGGGGAGCTTTGGGCTCACGTGGCTCCCCCAAATGAGGAAGATGCAGCAGCTGCCCAGGCAAAAGAGGAAAACACTGAGCCTGCTGCACCGGGGTGGAGGTGGAGATGGACCTGACATCAGGACCCCATGGTATGGAGCAGCTTCCCCCCGCCGTGCCCAAGAGCTGCACGCCTGTGAAAACAGAGTTCATGAAAGTGAGGTGGGCCTCTGTCAGGGCCAGGTGCCTGGGAGGGCAAGGGCAGGAAAGGGAGCAGGAGGCAGGTCAGTGTGGTTTGCGGCTCACTCCAAGGAGGGCAGCGTTGTGTGGGGGATGCCCTCCTGCATGTCTTTTCTAATGCTGGAGTTAAGGAGAACCCACCACTTGGGGAGTATCTGGTAACACCTTTCCACTAGGTGAAGTGGCATCTAGATGGTGTGACATTTAAGCCAAAGCATTCTTCCCAGCTAGCTTCAGTGACAAGTCCACATGCTGACTACTGACTGATATGTAGCTGTCTGTTTCTGCACCTTTGTTCTCCTTTCTTGGGAAGGCGGCCCTAGAGGATGGCTGCCAGGTGTGGGGAGAGCCCTACCCCTTGCTGTGCACTTGGTGTATTGTGCGCGTGCACACGCGATTATGTGTTCACACCAGTTCTGCAGACCCAGCTTACTGGCCTCCACCACACGGCCTGTTAATGGGGGCTGAAGGTGGACTTCCGTTAGTAGGGGCTGGAGTTTGTGATGTTGCGTGGGCTCCTGGGCTTCCTCAGGCCTACACATTGTTGTTTGTAGCCTGGTGATATGGATGGCACCATTCCACATTGTTGTGATTAGTTGTGGTAACACCTGTGCAAGGATGATTAACGCCCTCACTGGTGCATTGACCACAATAAAGACAGTGCAAAAGGCAGCCCGTGTGTGGAGGCTGCATTGGGATGTTTATTTTCAGACACAGTACTTTTCCCACTTGAATGCCTACTGGTTTCTAAGGATCCTCAGGATATATTTCTTACCAAGTTTAGGGTTTGGGGGAGGGGTAGGCATGAGTGTTCCTTGCTGGTCTTCCCTACTTTAGCCAAGCAATTTCCATCACTGTCTGCTACAGGTCAGACAGCACGAGAAGGGCAGGGATGTGGGGTTTGCAGTTCATAGGCTTGCTCTGTGTCTGCCTGCCCAGCTGGTGACCGTGTGACTCAGAGCCAGGGACCATGTGGGAACCTGCGGCTTTCCTGTGTGTCCCACAACCCAGTGTGAGTCCTGTGGATAGGGCAGGGAAGCAGATGCGGGGTCCTTGGAATATCGCAGAGGCAGTGTTTTGTCCCAGTTACCTTCGTGGTTGATGGCAGTGACTGGATCAGCAAAGCACTTTCCATCCTAGCCCACGATGATGCCATTTGGTCGGTTGCCTGGGGGACAAACAAGAAGGAAAATACGGAGACGGTGGTGACAGGTTCCCTGGACGACCTGGTCAAGGTCTGGAAATGGTAAGTACCCCTTTCCCCTATCAGCTCCCTCACTGTAGGCAGCCTTGGAAAATGACTCTGCATGGGCAAAACCTCTCCACCCCTGCCAGCTTTCCCACCCTCCCCAGCCCCATGGCCTTGGAAGATGACCCTGGTCTGGGCTCTCAGGTTGCAGCCAGGGAAGCATCGCCTTTGCTTGGCTAAGAAGCCGTGGTGTGTGGTGGGGGGGGGACACAGCAGCGGTGTGGTTTCTTCTCAGTTGTCTCCCTGTCTGTCGGCTTTGGTGGTCCAAGAGTGAAATGAAAATCACAAGTAGAAACTTGGCTGCGTCCAGCATTCTGTGGCTCTTCAGTTCTCCGGTTCCCTGTTTTTTAGACCGCTGTAGGAAAGCAGTTTTACAGGGACCTGTAGTGGCAAGTGCCGGGGTCAGTGACATTTGTGATGAATGTTCACCTGTCCCATTGAAGGAATGACGAACGACTGGATCTGCAGTGGAGCCTGGAGGGACATCAGCTGGGCGTGGTGTCCGTGGACATCAGCCATACGCTGCCCATCGCTGCGTCCAGTTCCCTCGATGCTCATATCCGGCTCTGGGACCTAGAAAATGGCAAACAGATCAAGTCTATAGACGCGGGACCTGGTAAGAGTTTTACTTTTAGGGGCCATAAAAGAGATTCTTGGTCCCTTTTCCAAAAACCTGAGGAGTTGGAGTGGGTTGCTGCGGGTGTATGATGTAGGTGTCTCCACCTTCAGGGCTGGGCACAGTGCTGGGCTCACATATTGGCATCTGCGCTGGCACAGGGACATGCTCCTTTACAGCACTGAGGTAAGCGCAGGCTATTAATAGCCTTCTGGCACTTCAGATCCAGTTCTGCTGCAAAAAGGAAATTGGTATTAACCTTAGGCATTGTAGTTTATTGTTTATTCTTGTTGGAAAGGGAGATTTACAGAGAAAGAGATTTATAGAGAAAGATCTTCTGTCCACTGATTCATTCCCCAAGTGGTTGCAATGGCCGGAACTGAGCCAGTCTGCATCCAGATGCTAGGAGCTTCTGGGTCTCCCATGCAGGTGCAGGGTCCCAACTCAACTGCTTTTCCAGTCCACTGGAAGGGAGCTGGAAGAGAAGTGGAGCAACTGGGATGCAAATTGGTGCTTATATGGGATCCTGGTGGGTGAAGGGGGAGGATTAGTCAATTGAGCCATTACACCAAGCCCTCGAGGGTTTTAGCATTTCAGAACTGCCAGTTTGGGATTGTAAACCTGTATTTGGATGATACAAGTCTCCAGTTGTCAAGATCTTTTTCTTTTTAAGATTTATTTATTTATTTGAAAGTCAGAAATTCAGAGAGAGAGGAAGAGGGAGAAAGGGAGAGAATCTTGCATCTGCTGATTCTCCAGGTGGCCACAACAGCCAGGACTGGGCCACACCAAAGCCAGGAGCCTGGAACTCCATCTGGGTCTCCCCTGTGGGTGTAGGGACCGTCCTCTGCTATCCTCCCAGGCACATGAGCAGGGACATGAATCAGGAGCGGAGCAGCCAGGACATGAAGCAGTGCCCATACGGGATGCCAGCATCATAGACAGCACCTTTTATCCACTACGCACCACAACACTGGTCATATTCCTTTTTGTGTTTGTGTTTTATTATTAGAGATTCTCCCCAAATGGCCACAGTAGTGGGGGTGGGCCAGAGCAATGCCAGAAGCTGGGCCATCCATCCAGGTCCCTCACGGGGATGGTTGGGACCCAGTCAGCTGAGCCGTTGAATGCTGCCTCCCAGGTGTATGCATTAGTTGGAGCCGAAACTGAAGTCAGGGGCACTCTGGTGTGAGCACCCCAAGTGGCACTGTAAGCGCCTGCCCCGCTTTGCCTCTCTGATTGTGTGGTCACCGCTCACAAGAGCTGGAACAGGGACATGGCCTCCTCTGAGATGCTGCCCTGCTCCTCACTGCCAAGCACAAGTTCAGATTCCCGATCTCGGGGGTGTGAGGGACAAAAAACTTTTAAAAATAATTAATTAATTAAAATATTTTAAAAGAATTTTTAAGGTTAACACTTTTACATTTTTAAAAATCTTATTTATTTTTTTTGGAAAGGCAGATATACAAAGAGGAGGAGAGACAGAGAGGAAGGTCTTCCATCTTATGGTTCACTCCCCAAGTGGCTGCAATGGCTGGAGCTGAGTTTATCTGAGGCCAGGAGCCAGAAATTTCTTCCAGGTCTCCCACGCAGGTGCAGGATCCCAAAGCTTTGGGCCAGCCTCGATTGCTTTCCCAGGCCACAGGCAGGGAGCTGGATGGGAAGTGGGGCTGCCGGGATTAGAACCATCACCCATATGGGATCCCGGCGCGTTCAAGGTGAGGACACTAGTTGCTAGGCCACGCCGCTGGGCTCCTGGGGAGAATCTTAAAAAACTTTGCAGTATACAGTGATTAAACACAGTTTTACAGAACTTTGAGTTTTAACAATTGAAAAATAGAAAAGTTTTAGGCAGGTGAGCAGGAAAATGTCCAACAACCTAGTGATGAGGGAGAAGTTAACTCTACATCCTACCTAATGAAGTCCAGGAGAAGCAAATAGGGAGCCTGACCAGTAAGTACATGATGAGCGATTATAGGCTAGTTGGCCTTTTCCCTGGCTGTTCCAGACTTTCAATATCAATGGGACAGGGCACTTTGTCAGAAACAACTGCATTGTTAAGTGCTGTGGGGTGACCTAATACTGTCCATCAGCCTTGGGAAATGATGCCTGGGCTGATTGGGTGTGAACAGCGTCCATGGGCTGGGTCAGGGCGGAGCATGCGGCTCTGTCTCAGGGCTTCATCTGTGACTCCCTCCTTGGAGGCTTTTATATATATATATGTATTTAAGAATACATCCTCCCAGGCCCTGTTTTGGGTGCACTGAGCCCTAATTTTCCGAGTGTTGGCCTGATTGTTTGGAAAAGCATGCCAACTGACTTTCTGGTGACTCATGGTTGTCTCCTGTGTCCTGTCCTGCTGATGGCTCCTGGGGGACCTGGCCCCATGCTACCCTGCACAAGCTCTGTGTGGCAAAGGGTGTCTTCATGAGACAAGAGGAGACAGCAGCCCTGTGGCCGCCCCGACCCAGTGACGTGTGTCTTTGTGTAGATGCTGCAGCCCCCTGCATTCCCTTGACACACGAGTCCTTTTGAGGATTCCGGGTCCAGTCAAAGTGGTGAAATGACCCTTAGCTTACACCAGACTTGGAAACGCAGGGAGGGTGAGAATTGGACGAACAGAAGACTGATGTCCTTGAGCCTGAAGCTGAGGGAGACCGTGCCCTGGATCCTGATCAGGTTGGCACCTCTCAACAACTGAACCTGAGGAGCAGTGGCGTGGCGGGAGAGCCTCTGTGAGCCAGGGCGAAGCCAGGCAGTGCCTCTTTGTAAACTCGGGACTCAGACCGCCCGCTGCGTGGTACGGCCGGCAGAGATGTCTGTATACTTGAGCAGAGTGCTTGGGTTCAGGTCTTGGCTCCAGCTCCCAGTTTCAGCTTCCTGCTAATGCAGACCGTGGAAAGTGGCAGGTCATGGGGGACCTGGGTCGAGTTCTAGTTCCTGGCTTCAGCCCAGCCCACTTGCAGCTGCTGTGGACATTTGTGGAATGAACCAGTAGATCGAAGCCCTGTCTCTGTCTTTCTCTCTCTCTGCCTCTGAAATTAAAAAAAAAAAATGTATTTATCATGCACATTTTAAATAAAATCATAGAGTGCAACTTAATTGATAAAATTTGTTCTTCCTATTTTCAGCATACAAACATTTGGTATTAAATGTTCTGCATTGTCAAACAGTAAAGAAATGTAAAAATGATTTGTAAGTGCTTTTTTTAAAATTCAAGGAACAAAAACTGATTCTGTAAATGAATAATTATGACAAAAAATATTCCTGTTAGCATAAATGCTCCTGTCATTTGGGGATAAGTATAAATACTAAAAAGCAGCTCTTGGGACTGCTTCCGTGGCTCAGCAAGCTCATCTTCCACTTTCATGCATTGGATCCCATATGGGCGCTGGTTCATGTCCCAGCTGTTCCACTTCCCATCCACTTCCCTGCTTGTGGCCTGGGAAAATGGTCAAGGATGGTCCAAGGCCTTGGGACCCTGCACCTGCGTGGGACACCCAAAAGAGCTCCTGGCTTTGGACTAGTTAGGCTCTGGGGAGTAAACCAGTACATGCAAATCATCTCTCTTTCTGTCATTCCTTCTCTGTAATTCTGTCAATTAGATAAATAAAAATTTTTTTAAAGATTTTTTTTTTGGAAAGTCAGATTTACAGAGAGAAGGAGAGACAGAGAAAAAGATCTTCCATCCACTGGTTTGCTCCCCAAGTGGTCTCAATGGCTGGGGCTGAGTCTATCTAAAGCCAGGAGCCAGGAGCTTCTTCTGGTCTCCCATGTGGGTGCAGGGTCCCAAAGCTTTGGGCTGTCCTTGGCTGCTTTCCCAGGCCACAGGCGGGGAGCTGGATGGGAAGCGGAGCAGCCAGGACATTAACTGGTACCCATATGGGATCCCGGGCGTGTGGAAGGCAAGGACTTTAACCACTAAGTTACTGCACCAGGCTCAGAATAAATGAATTCTTAAAATAAATAAATATATAAATATAAATAAATATTCATGTAAAGCAGCTCCCTGACATGTGGATAAGTTATTTGCAGGGCTTGTCGGTTAATTGGTCACAGCTGAAGTAGATCTCATGTAATGATGATAATAATGACGTATGCAGGCATTGGCTTTACCTGCTGAGCTACATGCTGACCCTGGTGTCTGTATTCTTCTTGCCAGCCATTGTCCTGTTTCTGTTATAAATTTAACAGGATTGAAACTATACTTATGCTAAATCTAAAGCTAGTGAGAAGCTAACATCTTCACCACACAGTTTTTTATATCAAGACATCACTCCTGCGATTTAAAAACAATGCACATTTTAGTAAAACTTTTGTTTTTGTGTCAGGTGAGATCTTACCATGTTTTTTCCCTTCTTTTCTCTGTGCAGTGGATGCCTGGACTTTGGCCTTCTCTCCTGATTCCCAGTATCTGGCTACTGGAACGCACGTGGGGAAAGTGAACATTTTTGGTGTGGAAAGTGGGAAAAAAGAATATTCTCTGGACACAAGAGGAAAGTTCATTCTCAGTATTGCATATGTAAGAAAACCCTGCTGCCTGGTCAGCTGTCGACCCAGACAAACCCCCACAGGGGGCTCGTTGGGCAGCAGCTGTCCCCCCACCAGCCACCTGGGCCTGCCACCCACAGGAAACTCCCCGGGTCTGCTGGGGAAAGCTTAGCTACACGGGACATTTCAGCATGTCCCCATGTTCTCTCATAGAGTCCCGATGGGAAGTACCTGGCCAGCGGGGCCATAGACGGCATCATCAATATTTTTGATATCGCAACCGGGAAACTGCTGCACACGCTGGAAGGTATTGCAGCCTGGGCTGCCCAGGGACGGGAGTGTGTGCTCTGGCTCGGTGCCGTCACATGGCCTGAGATTTCATGGCTTGTCGGCAGCCTCAGCCAGAAGCCTGCGAGGCCCCCCACGTGGTGGTTTTGTCACTGCACTGCGTGGTACATGAGTTGTTCTAACAGTGTCAAATGACTTCGTGAATTGCTCGTTCTTAAGTGATATGCTACCATTTCTCAGCCGCCAGGGTGTATCTGATTCTGTCATTTTTGCTTCAGAAGAACTTGTGGCCGGAAAACCATCCTCTTTGCCAAGAACTTGAAAGCAGCTGTGTTGTTCCCCTTGCCATTCCGGGGAACCTCAGGCCTAGGGAGAAGGGGCTGTCTTGGGTCCTCCTGTTCTGAATTTCAGCCAGCTGGCTGTTACCCCGTGCCCACCAGAATATTTGGTGGGAACAGCATATTTTGCTTGGCCTCCTCCGTCCGAAGCCATACAGCTTCCCACAGTGGCTGCAGGAGCAACAGACTCTCTGAAGGTGGTCTCTGTGGAGCCTGTTAGCCCCAGGAAGGGGACTGAGAGAGCTGCAGTTTCTAGAAAGAGCTTTAGGAGGAAGGGCCCAGTCCATGCACCTCCTTTTCTTCCTGAAGACCTAGCAGGCCCAGCTCAGCGACTTGGGACCCCAGGAAGCAGTCTGGCTGGGAGTTGTTCGAAGAGATGACAGCTAACAGGGGCCTCTCCCTTCCAGGCCATGCCATGCCCATCCGCTCCTTAACCTTTTCTCCCGACTCGCAACTGCTCGTCACTGCCTCAGATGATGGCTACATCAAGATCTATGATGTGTAAGTGGCATTGGGTGGGGTCACAGTCTCCCTAAACTCTGTGCAGCCCCTTCCTATTCTTGCTGTCTGTACCCACTGCATTTGGTGCTGAGGAATATCCTAGGATGGATCCCAGATACAGCGATGCCTATGCAGTGGTCAGCTGCCCCTGCCAGCATCTGTCTCTTTGGCCCTGTGCCCCCGATGACGGCACTGTGGTGCCCTGTGGGGTGGGGTTGGGGGGCTCCCACTTCTCCAGCCCTCATTTCCCCCTTGCATGTCCCCACCCTGACTGCCACAGGCAGGACACTGTCCAGTTGGCAGGAGGTTAGACCCAGGGCTTTTGCAGTGAGAGCTGAGGAGGGCGCTGGGCCCGAAGGGCAGCGTCTCTGGGTTGTGCCTGCATGCTTGTAGAGGAGCAAGTTCCTACACATTTGGCTTCAGTCCCTGACTTTACTGCCACTGTGTTCTTGCTTCTCCCAGCAGCCAGTGAGCTGGCCCCCTATGTGAGGAGGGCCCAGTGGAAGATGTGCACTGCTGCTCTCCCTCCCACTCTTGGCCTCTCATTGAGGCTCTTCACAGGCAGAACCGCTGGCCTCAGCTAGGCCCCAGGGCTGTACTCCCGCTCGCTGTGGCTGTGGGACCTGTCCAGGCCAGGTGTGCTGTCAGGGATATCTTGATGCCAGGCAGTGGCCCCAGGGCTGATGGTGCTGGCCTCATAGGATGTATCCCCCACTTTCCCGCTGCTGCCTCTATCCCCACCTCAGTGGCTCTGGGGCAGGTGAGCTCAACTTTGCCTGGGCTTGCCTCTGGGCAGCATCAGCAAGACCCAGGCTGGCACTGCAGGAAGCTTGGTCCCTGTCAGGCACACACCCCTGCATTGGGAGGGCACTTTGGATGTGGTGATGTGTCAGGAGGACGGCCGGCAGGTCCTGTTGTGCAGGTGGCCAGCAGTGCACGTGGGGACTGGGTTGCGCACGCTCATGTCCCCCTTGGTGGGCGTCTCTCCCGTTTCAGACAGCATGCCAGCCTGGCCGGCACACTGAGCGGCCACGCCTCGTGGGTGCTGAACGTCGCCTTCTGTCCTGACGACACTCACTTTGTTTCCAGGTATGTGAGGGGCTCAACTATTTCTTCTTCAGGTGCCCTGCACTTCCAGAGCTGTGGATCCTCTTGAAACCCAGGCAGCCTTTGTCGTCACAGCCACAGCACTCTGGTCAGTTACCATGAGTGGAACAGGCTAGTTCTTTTGAACAAACTCTGTTTCTCCTACCTACAAATATGCTAAGATGTACCCAGGTCCCAACAACAGTACACACATCTCTTTGTAAAATACTCTGCATGTGGATGACCCCACAGTTTTAAAAATTGTATTTATTTGAAAGGCAAAGCAACAGAGAGGGCAGGAGAGACAGGGTTGAGATCTCCATTCACTGGCTCACTGCCCAATTGCCCACAGCAGCAGGGCAGGGCCAGGCTGAAACCAGGAGCCAGAAACTCCATGAGGGTCTCCTGTGTGCGTGCAAGAGCTGAAACACATGAGCCACCATTTGTGCCTCCCAAGCACATTAGCAGGGAGCTGCATCAGCAGCAGATGTGGGCCCTGACACCAGGTCCTCTGATATGCAATGTGGGTATTGTAACGGTAGCTTAACCCACTTCACCACATCGCTCACACCAGTAGCCCTGGTGTTCATTGTTACTCAGGTCTAGGGAGATCATGACATTTAGAAAACAGGAAGAATACCACTTATGGTATTGCTCAGGAACCAGATTAAGCTGCTATGTGTAACCCCAGCATCTTAAATCAGCATCAGTTCAAGTCCTGACTGCTTCACTTCAGATCCAGCCCCTGCTGTTGTGCCTGGGAAGGCAATGGAAGATGGCCCAAGTGCCTGGATTCCTGCAGCCCATGTGGTGTTAATCTGGTTCAGGCCTGGCTGTTGTGGTCATTGGGGGAGTGAACCAGTGGATCAAACATCTTTGTTTCCTTCTCTCTTGCTCTGCCTTTCAAATAAATAATTTAAAAAAGAGAAGAAGTGTTAGGCAGTAGTTTCCCACTGCGCTGGGGCTTCCACCAGGTGAGTGAGTCTGGGGAGTCTGCAGGGCAGGGCATGGTAGGCAGTGTCAGGTCAGGCAGGTGGCTGTCCTGGAAGCAGGGAAAGCCCCTAGCCATGCCTGGCAGGGCTGTGTGCCTCAGCAGGGCCCTTGTGAAAACAGAGGAGTGCAGGTTGGGGTGAGCCTGTGGGACTTGGGGTCACAGTTCCCCCTCACTACTGTGTGCAGTGGCATCCTCACACACACATTCCCTTCATTCCCCAGCTCATCCGACAAGAGCGTGAAGGTGTGGGACGTGGGGACGAGGACTTGTGTCCACACCTTCTTTGATCACCAGGACCAGGTACGACACCAGCACCACTGAATTCCTTTCTCTTTGGACAGCTGGCACACTCAGCCTTGATGCCAGCAGCTTCCCTTTGTCCCACCCAGCAGACCCCGAGGACTGTTCTGTCTGCTGCTGTGTGCTCACGTGGTGGCTGGGATGTGCCCTTAGTGACATGGTGGCCCTCAAGGCCACAGCCTTGAAGTGTCTTCCAGGGACGCTGCTGCTGCAGGTGCCAGCCCTTGGGGGCCTCCTCAGGGGTGCTCTGCTGTGGCCGGCCACCCTCGCAGGTGCTGGAGCTTGATTAGGTTGGCAGCCTTGGCCCTGCTGACCTTTGTCCACCTTCAGAGGGAGTGGCCTTGTGTTTCTAAATGATCCTTCTAGATTTCTCTTTAGAATGCAACTTCTCTTTAGAATGCAATCTTATTCATACTTCATACTATCTCCCATTTATTATATATATTTAAGATTTGAAAGGTAGAGAGGGAGATAGTTTTCCATCCATTGGTTCACTCCCCAAATGGCCATAATGGCTAGAACTGGGCTGGTCTGGAGCCAGGAACCTCCTCCAGGTCTCAAACATGGGTGCAGGGTCCAAGGCCTTGAGCCATCCTCCAGCTTTCCCAGACTACAAGCAGGAAGCTGGATCAGAAGTGGAGCAGCCAGGACTCAAACCAGCATGCATTTGGGATTGTTACAGGCAGCAGTGTTACCTACCACACCACCCCACCAGGCCCTTCTGTGTAATCCTAAAGTTAGCAGAAGAACTGAGGGGTGAATCTTAGTGGTGCAGTCCTGCCTGGAACAGTCCTGGCTGTGCACTGTGGCCAGTGTGGTTGTTTCAGTGTAGAAGTGAGGCCATAATGTGTTTTCATTGCAGTGCTAACAGGGCTGGCCACCCAGAATTCCCTCAGCCCCATCAGTTTTTTCTGGGAAGGAGCTGTGATATTAATTACGTAGCATGGCCCACAATGCATGTAGCACCCAAGCAGGCTCCACAGGCTTTAATGACAGACCACAGGTTCCTGGAGGCAGGGGCAGCAGTCCTCGGTGGCTCGCTCGTTTTCGCCACAGCCCTTGCTCGTGGGCAGTGTCAGGGAAGGAGGGGCGAGGTGACCTGGGTTGAAGAGCAGGCCACATGCTTACCAGCACTGAGAAAACATCTGAGGTCCAGAAGGACGAGAGCAAGTGCGTTCACTTCCCCAGCACTGCTCACACAGGACACAGGCTTCAGGGCTGCGTTTTCATCTTCAGGTCTGGGGAGTCAAGTACAACGGAAATGGCTCCAAGGTTGTGTCTGTTGGCGACGACCAGGAAATCCATGTGTACGACTGCCCAGTGTGAATCATGGTCCCCATGCCCAGGCTCTACCCAGGAGGCACGGCTGCATCGTGACATTCCTTTCCTCTTCAGGCTTACAGACATGCAACGTTTATAGTGGATACAGAAATTTTGTAGATAACCGTATAAATCTCTCCATTGTGTTGGGAATGCTTGCTTGCTCACACTTGAGCATAAATAAAGCATTCTTGATGCAAACATCGGTTGCAGAATATACTCTTTTTCATGTCCCCTGCTGCTGCTGGAGCAGCAAAGGGAGCTGACAGTGTCATGGGTCAGTGAGTGTCTGTCCCAGAGGTGAAGAGATCCAACTCCTGGCAGAACCTACCAGCTGGGAAACAGTGCCCACCTCTCACGGAGGCCCATTTGGCGGAGTGTGTGTCAGCAGCTACTGTGCTGTAGAACAGGGTCAGGAAGGAAAGTGGGGTGTGACTTGTGGCAACGGTCCACTGTCCTCTGCCTCTAGGAAGCTGTGTAACCTGTAGGTCCCCTGCCTTGCCCTCCCCTCCTCTCCGTGACCAGCCAGGAGCCACTGTTACCCTCATGGACAGGGAGCTGGGAGGCTGGCACGCTGCAGTGGGTTGCTTTTCACAGGTGTCCCTCAAGTCTGTGGCCTGGCTCCTTTTTCCCTTCCAAACCCTCCCGCCACAGCTCTTACTCTTTCAGGGGTTACTGCCTGCTCTTTGCAGTCATCTCACCCCTGTATGTGAGCACCCCGAAGCTGGAAGCCTTACCCCTTAGACTGGGTGAGGTAGCTGGTGCTGAACGCCAGGGGGAAAAAAGGCAAAGCCGCCTGTCTTATCCAGCTCCATTTTAATTTCAGACTGACAGATGGACAGGTGGGGTAAGGTAGCAAGCCTCACCCTCCAGGGTCCCATCCTGGGACAGGAAGGAACCAAGGGTGGCTTTGCTTCACTGCCAGTCAGTGTTCTGCAGTGCAGCGTGCTGGAAGTCCTAGCACAGACACCACCCAGGGCAGTGGGCCTTGGAGCGCTCCTCTTCACCCAGGCTTGGCAGAGTTGGTTCTGTCTGTGCTGACCGGGGGCCAAGTGGGCACAAGGGGCTCTTCCCACGCTTGGAGCAAACATCACCCATCAGCTAGCAGTGGTTCATGCAGCCAGCTCGCCTTGCCCACCCCAAGTCAGTTGCCCTTTGGACTCTCCCTGGGTCTGAGTCCAGCCCAGGCAAGAGGCTGACCTGACAGATGGCCTCTACCTCCGCTCAGCAGGGGGTTTGAAATGAGCACTAAGAGCCACGGGCCAAGTGGTCCTAATGCAAACTCACCTGTCTGCCGGGGATGAATCAGACTCCCTTTCCCCCAACAAGCTCTGAGTGACAGTGATGACCACAGTGCACAGTACCTTGTGAACCTGTACCATGAGCAATGATCCTTGGGAAAGGAGAACTGGGGCAGGTGGGGAGGAGGTGGCAAACCCCGAAAGTCCCATGCCTGTGCCACCATTGGCCCTACCCTAACCAGCTCTCATGGCATCTGCTGCTGTGCTCAAGTTGCTGGGCACAGGGGCAGGTGTTGTGTTCCTTACAAGAAGCACCTGAGTGGGGGAGCATCAACAAAGCCATAAAGCCATGAAGAACAAGGCAGGTGGCTCTATGGGCTGCCACCCCACACACTGTCTTCATTGCAGGACCCTGCAGGTACCCATGCTGCTTAGACGGTCACACACACAGCCAGTTCCATCCAGGGCCCCGACAGCAGGGACTAAGTTGCCTGCAATTCTGGGTACAGGGCCCTGGCAGTGGGAACCAGGCACAAGCGAAGCCAGGTCCAGCCCCACGTATGCTTTGGTTCTCAAGAGGGTCCCCTAGGAGGAGGGTCCCAGTGTCCCACACCCTTGGCATCCCTGCCGAGGCGGGAGGGAGAACCCGCCGACCCGGAGACAGGCCTTGCTGGGGCTGTCCATTGCTGTCCGTGTGTGCTTCCCAGTGTGGTCGCTGGCTTCTCAGAACAGCAGACCCTGAAGATGTAAATGAACAGATTCCATATGCAGACTACAGGTGATTAACACTTTAAACATTTAAATATAAATTAAGCTATAACTTAAGTTACAACCAAAAAAGAAACCCCGAAAGGACACTCAGCAGTTGAGGATGCTGAACACATACACAGGACACCCCAAACACGAGGCCATTTTCATTGTGCCAACGTTACATTCGTCATGGGCCGGCTATGCCGCACCCCTGGTGCCATCACGCCGTCTGGCACTGCACTCCAGCCCGTGGCCCGTCGTCATCCTCGTCATAGGCCTCCCGGTGCTGGCGCCAGTTCTGCTCGCTGGGATTGAACTCCTTCAGCTCCACCTGGTCCATGTCGTCTGTGACCCTGACCTTCTGCCGTGGGGGGAGCAGAGCCTCCAGCTGGGGCAGCTTCTCCAAAGGAAGCCACTGTTTCTCAGGAAAGACCACCTGTGGGGGAGAGCATGCTGCTGTCCCTGCCCATGGAGGCGCACGGCAGCGGGGCTGAGGGCATGGAGGCAGACTTACGAGGAACTGGATGATGAGCATGCCCTTCTCCATGGACGCCTTGTAGATGGGCATGCCCTCGTTGCGCACACACTTCAGGTCCCCGTGCTTCACCACCTCCCCTGCCACGGAGAAAGGCGGGGTGTCAGACAGCAGGGGCGGAACCTGCCACCCTGTCAGGGTGTGAGGGCACAGCTTCCGTCCCAAATAACACATAAAGACCTAAGTCTGTGAGACACGATGCTAACATGTGGGACCCAGATCTCAGTGCAAGGGAACCCTCCTCAGAGCCCACCCCTGCTGCTGACAGCTTCCTGGGAGGCAGCGGCACCTGCAGTCTCCCTAGGCTTCTCCCAGGTCTAAGTCTGCTGCTCCCTAAAGAAACAGCTGCTCTGCTCCCAGAGAGCTGGGATCCACACAGGAGCAGGCCCTGGGCTGCAGGGCTGTGTTTGTCCTGGCTGGGGGATGCCACCTGCTGCCGCTGAGGGAGAAGCCTGGGGCAGGGAAAACCAAAGGGACAGATGACGCCTGTGCCTGCAGGGGCTCAGCCTTGAAGGTGGCCCTGGCAGAACACAGAAAGGAAGGAGTACAAACAAGTGGAAGGCTGGGGGGCAGGGTGCAGAAGGAATGGTCGGGCATGAACCAAGAAAATGCAAAAGACCACCCACAGGAGGGGGACTGTGGTAGGGTCCCCCGAGATCTTGCCCTCCTTTCTGTCCCGTCCCCAGGGCACCCACTTCCTTCCCTCTTGCTCCCTCCTCCAGCACCCACACTTCTGCCCAAAGCAGTAGGGACATCTGCGAGGTGGACTTAAGATTTCAGCTCGTCCAAGATGGGCCTTCCCAAAGGTGCTGCACCGATAGGGCCAGCCACCAGGCTACAGCCCTGCTGCAACACAAAGGGGACCTGACCCAGCACCTGGTATGAGCAGGCGGCCTATGGCTGGGCTCTGCAGGAACCCTGGGCCTCAAACAGTCATCCTCAAACAAGGGAGAAAATGGATGCAGTGGGAGGCCAGATAGTGGAGCCCATGGGTGTTAGTTTCGAATGCTCATGTAAACCGCACACTCCACCCTGCCTTACCCTACCCTTTCAGTCCATGTATGCACATAAGTGTACATGCCTGCACTCAGCAAGTGCTGTAAAATCATTGTTTCCAAATAATTTTTCCAATCCCCCACTCCCTCAATTCAAAGGTACAAGGCCTGGATCTGAAGTGTCATTTCATATTATCCTCAGGAGGGAAAAGGAAGAACTAAAGAGGAAAATGACAGGAGAGGGCCCGGGGCAATAAGGAGAGGGGGCGGCCCTGGCGGCTGGCCAGGGAGGCAGGCTGGCTCAGGGTGCCAGCACCCAGCCTGCAGAGCTTTATCACCAGTCACCACTGCCGCAGGCCTCTTCTGAACCTGCCCCTGAACTTGTATCCACAGATGACCACTCCCAGTCCCTGTGGCCAGTGAGAAGAGCTCAGCCGTGCGCTGGTCAAGGCCTGGATGCCTGGGGGCTGGCCACCCCCACGTCACAGTTGACCTTCAGCGCTGTCCCTCAAGCAGGTGCAAGCAAGGTCCCCAGCCTGCCCTCTTTGCCTTTTGAGCCCCCACTCAAATCCTTGACTGCAGGGCACGGCCCTCTTGGGGGTAAGAGCCCTGGGTCATTGCCCGTGGGCTCCAAGGAAGAGCTGCCAGGCAATGCTTTCACTTGAGAAGATTCCATTTTAAAACACCTGCCATGGAAATGACAACAGGAAAGCTAGGTGCACACAGGGATGTATGAGCACACTACACCACTGGACAGATCCCACCTGTGGCCAACTAAGTTTGCTACAAAATTGAATGTTTAAAACTTTTAACTGGCAGATTCCAGGTAGAATTAGAGATCGCCCCCAGCTCCCCTGCGGCCCCTGTCCCAAACCCTGGCTGCGCTGTTCTGGGAGAAAAGAAATGTGTGCTGCATGTCAGCAACCAGGGTCACCACCCAGCATGCCCCGAAGCCTCACCTGACTTGGATGTAATGACCAGGACCCGATCATCCAGTGTCTTTATCGTCTTCTTGAAGCCACAGAGAGCTTCAGAGAGCTGAATTTTCATTTTCATGATCAAGTCATGGCCTTGCCTCTGAAAGACACTATGATCCTTCTGATCAAGCACAATTATGACATCGCCAGGCTCCAGCTCAGGCTCCTGGTCGCCTTCTCCATGAAACAGAATCTTTTGCCCATCCTTCATACCTACGGAACATCAGCCCCTCTGGTTAGCACCTTGTAGGGAACCCCACTGCCCATGCTGTTCACGAGGCATGCCAAGGCCTCCGGTTCTGAAAGTTCCTCCTCCCCCAAGCTCACTGGAGCTGGGGAGGATGGGGCAGCCATGATAGCCACCACTAAGAGACGTCAGAGTCCCCATCTGCCCCAGGATATTGGGTCCCAGGCCACCATGCTATGAGGATGGGGGACGTGAAGGTCCACAGCACAGCCCCACACACAAGCCCTGATGACACCACCCACCTTCAGGGACTGCTGTGGATAGCTCACTTTGGCCATCTCACCTAGGATCTGTTTGCCAGCTCAGATCACCCAGGGCAGACCTGGGGGATAGCTGAGACCAGGAAAGGCCCTGTGGAGGGGCAGGGCCCACACAGGAGGGGTGGGGCTGCAATGGCTACACAGGCTGGCAGAGACCAAGTCCTCACACAGGGTGGCCAAAAGTCGATGACA